AGGAGCAGGGACTGAACAATGGGAGCTCACCCCGTTGCAGGGATTCGAACCGCCGACCTTCCAGTTTCCAGTTCTTCAATTATTCAATTATTTCAAACCTTACGCTTAATATTGTGGAAAGGAAAGTTTTTAGCAACTGAAATCTACTCAATAGCATATTATCACTATTGGATTATAAATTGGAATCTAATTTGGTACTTCTCTTCAGGAACTAAGCAGAAGACACTTGAATTAAGATATATGAAGAGCTCTGCTGAGGATCATAAGTGTCAGGGAACTGCCATCAGTGCCGGAGGGAGTGAGCAAAAGCCAGAGGGATTCCAGAGAGTGTCCAGGGATCGGGAGAAGCAGCCCATCTTCTGGGGAAGAGAATCAGAGTAGCACCAGTGGAGAAGGGGGGCAGATGGGGGAAGCGGTGAGGCGGTCCCATGACTCTTTGCCTGGGAGCAGCGGGGAGAGTAGGGGTCCTCCGCTGCCCACGCCCTCCTTGCCCAGAAGGCTTTCGCGCAGAGAGAGTAGGAGGAGACTAGGCGTCAAAGAGCTTCTTTGCTGGAAGAAGTTTAAGAAATGCCCACTGACAGATTCTGCCAGCGATTGAGTCAGCCATGGGTGAGTGGCTGTCCAGACAGAAAAGGTTCACTTAGGCAACCCAGCCAGGTGTTTGCACCCAGCCGGGGAGATAAGCACCAGCTTACTCACGAGCAACCCCTAGAACCATTACAATAAGACTTTCTGCTGGAGGGAATAAAAGAACAAAGAAGCTTGAAGTTGGCTCAACAAACACAACTGAGACTTTAAGGAACAAGTATTGCAAGTATTCTGACTTTGGACCCCACTCTGAGACATTTTGGAAAAGCGGACAAGTGGTTTTAACATGCTTCCCCTGGAAAAGTACTGGATCTCCCTGGTGTTTACTGGCGAAACTGTACTGAATGGCTTTGGACCAAATCAGGACTGATAGAAGAAACTGGCTGTTCTGAAAACAATGGAAGGTTGAGTGGCAGGGCAGCCAGAGAGATGAGCTCAGACGCTGAAACTATAGCATTTTTGTATCAATGGAGAAGAGAATTTTTGGAAAATAGGGCTAAGATATCAAAGTCCATCAGTACCAGATTGGATCAATATAATAACATGGTGGAAGAACTGGAAACAAGAAGAATAGACTCAGGGGAGACTCTTGGGCAAAGAAAGGAAGGAAAGTTTGTAAATGTCAGGTTCGTGTCTCTCCCCCACACAACTCGACTTCAAACATGTGATTATTCCAGATTTATTAATCAATTACAAAAGCCCCCCAGTCCGAGCTCCGGCATTCCATTCCTTACAATCTGTTTCAGTTGCCGAAACTAAGCACCTCTTCTTCCGTACCCAATAAGGAAACCCCCACTTTTACTTTCTCCCAAGCGCACACTTTTCTGCTATCTTATTGAATTGATGAGACATCACCTTGCCAACAATGGTCCGTATAGTTAAAGCTATGGTTTTCCCAGTAGTGATGTATGGAAGTGAGAGCTGGACCATAAAGAAGGCTGATCGCTGAAGAATGGATGCTTTTGAATTCTGGTGCTGGAGGAGACTCTTGAGAGTCCCATGGACTGCAAGAAGATCAAACCTCTCCATTCTGAAGGAAATCAGCCCTGAGTGCTCACTGGGACAGATCCTAAAGCTGAGACTCCAATACTTTGGCCACCTCATGAGAAGAGAAGACTCCCTGGAAAAGACCCTGATGTTGGGAAAGATGGAGGGCACAAGGAGAAGGAGACGACAGAGGACGAGATGGTTGGACAGTGTCCTCGAAGCTACCAGCATGAGTTTGACCAAACTGCGGGAGGCAGTGGAAGACAGGAGTGCCTGGCTTGCTCTGGTCCAGGGGGTCACGAAGAGTCGGACACGACTAAACGACTAAACAACAACAGCAATTGAATTGACGAGTATGGGGAGATTCCACTTCTCCTATTACCTCCTCCCCTTCCATCGTCTCACTGTCCAAGCTTTCCAGCTGCATTCCTTCACGCTGTGCCTCACTGTGTACAGGGATCAAATTCCTGCTGCACACTGCTTCTCCCCCCTCCCACAGGGATTCTCTCTCTTCCCCCCCCCCTCAGTATCTGTCCTTTCTTCACTTGTCAGTAAGGGAACCTATATAGCAGTAAAGAGGGAAAGCCTAATTGTTATGAATAAAACCCGAAAGGAAAGAGTAGGGGGATTTGCGATGGGGTGAGCTCCTGTTGGTCGGTCCCTGCTCCTGCCAACCTAGCAATTCGAAGGTATGTCAAAGTGCAAGTAGATAAATAGGTACCACTCCGGCGTGAAGGTAAGCAGCGTTTCTGTGCGCTGCTCTGGTTCGCCAGAAGCAGCTTAGTCATGCTGGCCACATGACCCGGAAGCTGTGCTGGGATCACTAAGCATGCACTGTTTTGGCTTCTTGAATAAAGAGTTAACTTGAATGAATGCCCACATTGGTGTGGACCCCAGTTTTGCTTCCTGCCAAGTTCTGAAGAAATCGAGAGCAGTTCAATGTGTTTGTTGCCCAATGTTAGCTCTACATGAGAGTAAGGGTGCTGGAATTTCCCAGTGATAAAACCAAAGTTGTATTTGTGATTAGTCTGCTAGAAAGGGACACCAAACACTGGGTGGCCCCCATTCTCATTGCCTGGCATGCAGGGTTGTCCTTAGGTGCCTTGTAAGTTAGCAACCATGGAGATCAGAAGGGGCAATGGGGCATCAAACACAGAGAATAAGGAAACAAATATTGCAACAACTGGAAGAATTTGGGAAGGTCTCTGGGTTCAAACTGAATAAAGGAAAATCCAAATTATTAACGAAAAATTTGCGTAAGTTGGAACAAGAGGAACTGGAAAATACAACAGGTCTAAAGGTAGCCAATAAGGTAAATTATTTGGGGGTTTGGATCACCAGTAAGAATATAAACGTATATAAGGTCAATTATGAGAAGAAGTGGAAGGAAATAAAAAAAGAATTAGAGACTTGGGGAAAATTGAATTTGTCCCTGTGGGGGAGAATATCCACAGTTAAAATGATGGTATTGCCAAAGATGATTTTTATGTTCCAAACAATACCTATAATTAAAGGCGTAAAGTATTTTAAGGATTGGCAGAAAGACCTTGCCAAGTTTATTTGGCAAGGGAAAAAACCACGCATGAAATTTAAGCTACTAACAGAGTTGAAGGGAAAAGGAGGCTTTGTGGTCCCTGACCTTAAACTGTACTTTGAGGCAGCGTGCTGGACATGGATTAAGGACTGGATATTAATTAAAAACACAGAAGTCCTAGATCTGGAGGGATGGGATATTGTGTACGGATGGCATGGCTACATAGGCTATGACAAGGTTAAATCCCACAAAGGATTTTTGAATCCTATTGTGAAAAGGGCATTATATGAAGTATGGGAGAGGAGTAAAAAATCAGTAGTAACCAAAACACCATGGTGGCTGTCACCAATGGAATCTATGTCGGTTCACAGGATAAATATGAACAGCGATTGGCTAACATATAAGGATTTAGTAGAGGAAACAAGTAGTGATCCGAAAATAAAGGACCTAAGTGAATTGAAACAGAAGGGAATAACCTGGCTGGAGTATTACCAATTAAAAGCCGCCCTTGAAAAGGATAAAAGAACCAAAGGATTTGACAAAAAAATATCCTATCTGGAGAAGGATATTTTATATAATAATCAAAAGATACTTTCTAAAATGTACAAACTACTTTTGAATTGGCAAAGAAAGGAGGAAGATATCAAAGAAATTACAGTAAAATGGGAGAGGGACCTGGGACATACGATCAAACCCAATATTTGGAATGAATTATGGACTAAAAATATAAAATTCACGGCTTGTTTCCTTATAAGGGAAAATCTTATGAAAATGTACTATAGGTGGTACCTGACCCCTGTAAAACTTGCAAAAATAAATAAATCAAACAATAACAAGTGCTGGCGATGTAAGGAACAGATAGGAACATACTACCATATGTGGTGGTCCTGTCTAGAGATACAAAGATTTTGGAACATGATTTATGAAGAGATAAAGAGATTGATAAAAACTACATTTAGCAAGAAACCGGAAGAATTTTTACTAGGAATGGTTTCAGATAATATTCCCAAAAACAAAACTAGGCTATTTATGTATGCAACGTCAGCAGCAAGGGTTATAGTGGCAAAACACTGGAAAGATAAAAATACACCCACTAAAGAGGAATGGGTAGTCAAATTGTGCGAGTACTTGGAGCTCGCAAAGCTGACAGATGCAATAAGAGATAAACCTAAAATTGGTGAAAGAAGAATGGGAATGTTTAAATAATTATTTAGGGGACAAGGGCTCAGCAAGAAAGATCTGGCTATGTTTAGAATGATGCCGCATAGAGAAATGTTCCCTGATACCAAGATGAGGGATTCCTTTGGAATGCAGATAGAGATAATTGATAAGAATAATGATCTGTTGTGAGCTTGAGGGAAGTGTACAATAGATGAGCCTTCCTGCTTTGGCTCATCTTCCTTTTTCTTTTTCTTTTTTCTCTTTTTCTTTTTTCTTTTCTTTTATCTTTTCCATAGTTACTTATGTTCTGTGTCATGTACTTTGATATTTTTTGTAGTTTTTAAAGTTTTTTTCCATAACTATTAAGGAATTTTCTTTTGTAATTTTGGTTGTCTATATTTATATGTACCTGTTTAAAGCAAAATAAAAGTTTAAAAAAAAGAAAGAAAGAAAAAAGGAAACAAATATTGCTATGCATTGCAAATAAATACATTAAACAGAAAACAGGATATGATTGGACCCTTCCATTCTCTATTTTTGTAGCCATCTACGTCTGAGCTTGCAGAATAAGTTCTATTCAAGGTGATCGTGAGGGGTAATGCCAGACAGTCCCATAACCTAGATGGCAGATTGTGGATTGTGCATTAAAACTGTGGGATGCGGTGATCTCTTGGTTTTGCTTTTGTGTAGAAATCATGGGATACAGCTTCATTCATCTTAAAGTGTCTTCTTAGAGCCAAGTATCATCAGGCACCTTCTTACAAATATACTGTATGCGTCGCTCACATTGTAATGCCATCCAGCATCTGTCATAGTAGCAATCAAAGGACATAGCAGCACAGTCATGGCCCGGTTGTCTATTTGGCTCATAGTAATTCCAGTACCTGAAAAGAAAAGAAAGACCAGCACTGATCAATCAAGATTGGATGTCTACTTCCTCACGAACTCCCTGTGCAGATTTGTGCAGATAACTGTACAGTCATACCTTGGGTTGAAGCAGCTTCGGGTTAAGCATTTCCGGGTTGCGGTGCGTTACTTCCGGGTTTCACCGCTCACGCATGTGCAGACGCTCAAAATGACATCACGCGCATTCGCGGAAGTGGCAAATTGTGACCCGCACGCACAGATGTGGGTTGAGTTCACTTCAGGATGCAAATGGGGATCCGGAACAGATCCTATTCGCATCCAGAGGTACCACTGTATAAATATTTTCCTAAAGACAGTGTTGCTCAGCTTTAGGTTCCTGCAAATCCTTTTGAAGCTGAGCTAATCAGAACAAACCATTCACTAGGTTGGAGAAGCACGAAGAATAGCCTTCCTGCCTCTCCAACCTAATGAGAAGCAGCAGCCGCTCATCTGGCCAATGATGTGGAGTACATATGTAGATCTTTGGTAGTAGAGAAAATTGCATGGCAAAATATATTTGGAGAGGGAAATAATTAATTATGTAAACATAATCTGCAACTTTTTGGAGCACATGCCATTAAGAAATCTTGCTGTAAAAACTTACGTGCTTGTAGGCTTTGAACCTGACAGCCATGTCCATGTCCTTTCCGTGTTTTTAAATAATCCAATCCAAAAAACCATTTTACGGAGTTTTACTTCCTGGTTTATAAAATACTAGGGTGGGGGTGGGGAGAAAGAAAAACAGAAAATCATCAGTAGGAATGAGGAGAAAAACACTTCTCACAAAGTCTTTCTAGACAATGTCCCTTTCTCTGGGAGACTGCCTTTACTGACATTCAACAGGCATAAAGGAGCAGGTGCCACCATTGAAGGTCCAATACACATTTTTGTGGGAAGCAGTGATCAAAACTATACAGTGGTACTTTTATTCTCGAACGCCTTGGTACTCAAACGCCTTGGATCCCATACGATGAATACTGAGGATGTGTTACTGTGCCCCTGATCCAAATTATGATGATGCTGATGATGGATGATACTGATGATGGAATCAAGGAAGCATCCCAATTAGGAAATATTGTAGTGAAGGGTAACTTCACCTACCCTCACCGAGACTGGCTACATATGAGTCCCAGTTCTGACACAAAGTTAAAATTTCCAGATACTGTAAATGACTGGGCCACAGAACAGTTCATCTTGGAACTACCTAGCAGGACAGTGACCTGTGTGTCAAATACTCCAATTTCTGCATCCATGCTTGATGGTTGGTTCCAGAGCTAATGGAATCAGTCTGGTTGTGGTATGCTTGATGGCATGATGATGGGATCTCACACATGTCTGTGCCCTGCAGCACCCCAGTAACCCCTCTGCTAGGGCTAAGGGGCTGGGAGAGGGATATACCTTGCAAGCTCCTCTAGAGTCATCTCCATGATCCCCTCATGCCAGAGGGTTAGGGTGGTGAGGGAAGCCTTTTTTCTAAGCACTCAGTACAGAGTAGAGGAAGAATCTACAGGGAATTCAAGGGATAGATTCCCCTCGAGTATCTACTCCTCTTCCTTCAAGACCTCCTTCCTGACTGCCAGCTTCAGGCTATTAGAGTTCAGCAGCTCTAAGAAACCTCATTGAGTCCTAGATGGTAGCAGCTGTTCCCTGCCCCACCCACCGCTTGGCTTGACTGATGGAGTTGCTGTCTTGGCTGCATAGAGGTGGATAGGACCTTCTTAAATGGATAGTAATGATAAGAACCCTTTGACTCAAAGAGATCCCCTGTCTTTTCTATACTCGGCTTTGATGCTCACCTGTTCTTCCTTTGTTTGCATAGAAATGAGCTTGGCGCCTTCCCTCTCACACTTTCTTTGGGAATCCACCCATGTGCGTAGCTCAAGAGAAAAGAAATAGAAGGCCTTTGAATATAAAACCCAACCATCATTCAAGTTTCTAGTAAGGATGTCTTTGAGTCAAGCAGATATGGAGGAAGAAGAGAAAAAGAAAACAAGACAGGGAATTTAAGAGGAACAACCTTGTACATCTTTGCAGATTTCAAATATTTTTATTAAGTTCATTTCTGCAGCCACATAACATATATTCACCTAGGAAGCTCAGAAATATTAAAACAAGAACAACATTAACTCTTCAACCCCTTCATGATGCTGCAGGAAATACCGGTGGGAGGGGCATAGCTGGAACAGGGAGCACAGTGAAGAACCTTTTATTTGAGGGAATAGACAAAAGATGCATGTTCCTTCACAAGCCTTATCTGAACCCCAGGGGCCTCACCCACTTGTTTCCACCTGGATACTCAGGGCAGCATCAGGGCAGACTTGAAGGTTGGGAAGGGGGAGTAGCTGTGGTTTATCAAAATTCTCTTTCTCTCTATAAGCTAAGTGTCCAGTTGCGGGGGGGGGGGCGGATCTAGAGTGTGTATTCCTGACATTGGGCAACTGGGACAGATGAGGGATTCTGCTGGTTTTTTTTCCACCCACTTTGCTGCCTAGCTGTCTCCCTGTCCGAGATGGTAGGATGGATCCAATGGGCTTCCAATGGCTCTGGGGGATATTCCAGCTGATCTAACTGCTGCTCCTGCCAAGCTTTCACCGAGCTCAGGAACAACCGAACAACAAGAACAACAACAACAACGGTACTTTATTTATATGCTGCCCTTCTGAATGGGTTTTCCCCAGCCACTCTGGGAGACTTCCAACAAATTAAAACACAATTGTACATAAATCATAAAAGAATTCCTTGAACAAAGTTACATTCAGATGTTTTCTGAAAGTCAGATAGTTGTTCATTTCCTTAACATCGGGTGGGAGGGAGTGCCACACGATTGGCCCTGAGCGCCCTCTCCCGCTTCATGCAGCCTGTTTGGCCCCCTGGTATACTGCAGAGGTCAGGGCGAAGAAAAAAGCTGGGAGATGGCTTGAACTCAATTAGAGAAAAAATCCAGTTGAATGCATTTGATTGCTTGTGAGGGATTATCATTGAGCCTGCCAAGTGGCAGTGAAGGCTACAAAGAAGGCTTGCTTTGTTTCCTCCATTGTGCCATCCAGCAGAGCTCAGGGTTAAAAGGAGAAAATATTTGTAACGAATAATTGTGTTATACATATTCTTATGAGTTTGAGTTTGTAATCTCTGCTGGAGTTTGTAATTTCTATTTGAGTTTGTAATTCTTGTCAGAATACATACTTTTGAATGGATTAGTTTTTGTTACTATTAATAATAATAATAATTTTTATTTATACCCCGCCCTCCCCAGCCAAGGCCGGGCTCAGAGCGGCTTACAAGCAATAATAAAAACAAGTTAAATGATTACAACTTAAAAACAAAATTAAAAAATACAACATTAAAATATTGAAACATTAAAATATTAAAATGTAGCCTCATCGCAGAAGGAGAAGGAAAAGAAAAAAGAAAGAGAGGGGGGGAATCAAATTGGCTCCAAGCCAAAGGCCAGGCGGAACAACTCTGTCTTACAGGACTATTGATTTGTGAGTAGGGACCACTCCTACTATTGAAACTTACATTGGTCTGAGTTCTTGGTGTGCTCTTTTCTCTTGGTATATTTAATAAAGGAGAGCCCACCTTAGATACCTGTGCAGATAAATGGAGGGACCCTATTGTGACCTAGCTTTGTGGTCTGTGTACTTGCTGTGGCACCAGAACAGGCCTGTGGCTACAGTGAGAGTTGTGATGGTCCACAAGTCTTTTATCCCACATGCAAATGAGCCAATACACTATGTGAGTGGGCTTGAGGGCTTCTTTCTGATAATGGGTTTGTGAAACAGGAAAGAGATTTTGCTGTTGCACCAACCACCCCACTGCCCAGCAATCTCTCTGACCAAGTTGGCGGAAGTTGCCTTGGGAGTGCTATTCAAGAATCACTCTCTCATGGGGGAATATAATAAAGGACAGGTCTTTTAGCTGACCTGTTTTGATTGTCTCTCTTACAGCAAAGAATGGCAAAATCTTTTCTTTCCTCCCTATAGAACTAAATCAATTCAAAAGGTCAGGAGAGTTGAACTGAATATATCTGATGTTTCCCTAGGGTGGCTGGGTGCAAAGGAGGGCAGCACTCTGCTCTGGCTCTAAGAGTATTCAGCTAGAGGAGGTGCTTTCAGGAGGGGCAGAATCAGGGCAGGTTCCCACTGTACTACAATTCTTCAGCATTGTAGGGTATCTTACCAATTTCCTTTTGCAGTTGATCATTTATGTTGGCATAATACACCATTTCCTCTGATATGTTTTGAGCTGCAGCAAGTATTTGGAAGTCTAAAAGATTTGAAACAGTTTAAGGCAGGAGTATCTGAAATAACAATCTGCAAATATTAAGAAACCATTTCCAAACATTTTAAAACACTTTAGTCTGAAACAAGAAGCAGAGCTCCAGGATGGGGTTCTTATGAATATGAGGACAGACTTGATTCTCTGTGGCTGAGATCACCAATGAAAAGCCTCTGAAGAATCCTGCAGCTGGATCAGACTAAAGACCCATGCAATCCACTATCCTATTCTCATATTGAAAGTGGCTCATGAAGTATCTCTAATGTTCCCATCCTTTGTCCTCCTTTTCTGCTGGGAATCACAGGGTCACAAAACAATTCCCCACTGAGTCACACAGTTAAGCCAAATTTGCAAAGATTACTTTACAGTTTTCTATTATGCTTTCTTAAATCTAAGAAAATACAGGCACCCAAACTCTTTTCCTGATGAATATTGGGTTGCATTCCACATAGTTCTAAAGAGGGTGCTCTGTAAGCTCAGGAATTTCTCCTTGTGCACTGCAATCTCCAGCCCCTTTCCCTCCATTCTGTTCTGAAGTTTCTCCCCACCCTGGAGTGCAGTTTTGGTGATGGCATGCAGGGAGAAGTGGGGGCAAAGTTCCTTTGCGCTAGTGCTAAAATCTAGCACTAGCACAAAAATTGTGAATTAACAGTGTGATGGGGGAGGACAGCATTTCTAGTGGGGAAATGTGAGAATCACAACCATCTGCTTTTCTTCTTGCTGAGCAATGAAAAAGTGATAAACTCTATTGGGTGATGAGTTTCATTGAATATGCGTATTGTTCACACAATATGAATCCCAAATTGAACTACAGGAATTGAAGTCTGTTTAAATTAAGCATGTTCTAGCAAAAGTGAGGATTTGTATATAAAATGCTTACCATCCTTGTCCTTATAGTTTGAATCAATCCCAACAACAAAGTTTCGAATCATGGTCATTGCCATTTGAAACTCCTCTCTGTTTTTCACTTCCTTCTGATCTAAGAAGGGGTAGGTAGAAAAGAAATGAAGAAATTGTTTTCTAGCACCCTGGTCTGATGACCTGGGGGAGGGGATACTTGGTTTCAAACTGCTTTTAATATTGAATTTAAATTGCTGACTTTTTCCATTTAGCCTGTTGGCTCTGTCATCAGATGGTTTGGCCTTCCTTTGAGAGCTTTAGATTTTTGGTTGTCCAGATACCCCTGTCCTCTTTGTCCTGTGGACTTGCATTTGCCAGGCTGCCAAATGCCCTGCTGTATGCAAATTCTTGGATCATTTGGTTTCCTCCCCCTGAGCTTTGCTTACTTTGAGTGCCCTTTAAAAATGAATTAGCTATGAATATAGGCCATTTGTTCATCTATCCAGTGCTATTTTTCTAGAAAAAGAAGCACTGGAACTCAGCATGAATGCCTCCCTTGTTCTTTTAGATTGGCAACAGAGCCCACCTGAGAGGGCCTGGAACTGAGTCCTGATGAATTTCGGCTGAAAAAAGTCTTGCATATATCTAGATATTTAGGTAAGCTCTGGACACACCCACTTTGGCCATGACCTTATCCTCTGCAGCCTGTTTTCCCCAAGAACTTTCCTTCAAGGGACTGGAGCCCTAGCAGAGGGCAGGGTGGTGAGGATCAGGAATGGGGGCTCTCCCCCAGCAAATGAGGATTAGTTGGGAAAGGAGCAGAGAATGGCAACTGGGAAAGGGAATTGTCCAGGGTGTTCCAGGGACTTGTGTAAGCCTAGGCGTTTGTTCCAAGTTCTGGAACTCACTTATTCGGGGAGAACAAAACAGTGTCATTGCTCTCACTGGGTGACAGCTGTAACTCACTCCCTGAATTCAAAGAGAGTTGAAGAGGGTAAATGGAAGGTGGATCCTGCCATCTCTTTTTTGAAATGCTATTGGCATTGAAGGAAAGCCCGTGACATTAGTTGCAAAGTATGCTAATTATGTACTTACATAGAAGGAAAATCAGCAGTGTCATGGCACTAAGGATGCAAATCTCAAGTATGACAAATCTTTCACCAGTTGGAGAATGGAAGAAGGTAACCAAGTCCTGAAAACCAGATGCTTGAAGAAAGACAATTCTGCTTTAACCATCGGTAGCCAACATACCATTCCCAACCCAGGAAAAAGGGTTCCATATGCTGTGGCAGCCATCAGCCAGACACAGTCACTTGCTCAGGGGGTGGGCACTTGGGAGAATAAGCAGGTGGAGGAAGCAAAGCGAGATGGCTTGCTGCTTGAGGAAACTTTTCTTACAAATGTCTGGATCAGAAGACAGGAGCCTTTGACGTTACTTTCTGCACCCCAGACAAATGACAAGATGCCCCCTCCATGCAAATAATTTCACATACAGAAGCTAGACTACCCTTGGCTGATATTTCGATGCTGCTGCTGGGGCAGCAGACTAACTGAGAAGGTTCAGTGCAACTCTACCCACCCCAGCACCTGCTACTTGAGGCAACTGCCTCATTCTGCCTAATGGTGGAGACATTCCTTGCTGCACACAGTAAAGGAACACCACAGTCAGCAGCAAAAAGTGTGCTGAATACTGTGGTTTCTATGGGGATTAGTGGATCTCTGGCACCAAAAGAGTTGTGTGTGCTTTTCTCTGCACTCCTCCCTGGCACAACATGACTGGGTCCACTCCCTGCCTGTCTCTCCATCAACTTCCCTTTCCCATGCATTCCTCTACTTCATGAGAAATCTCATCCCATATGACTGTGCTGTATACAGACCGACAGCTTCTTTTGCTCCTGCTTTACGCTTTCTGGACATTGCATATCTTCTGGATGTTGCACGCCTTGCAGGCATTGGCTTCCCCATCCTCTCAGTTTTCTCTGTGAAACAGCAAGCTATTATAACATGGAGGATAAGAATATGAACACATTGGTTGGATGGTGGGTGTTTAACCTTCAAGACCCAGAGTATGTCTCTTGTCAAGCATCAAAGCTCACAATATTTACTTTTGTTGTCCTGCACTTCATCTCTCTTGGAAGATATTTAGCTCTCCCAGAAGCAGAGCATCTCGGCAAATGTAGCAAACAGGATCCTGATACTTTGGAGCATATTTTCTTTTCTTCTGATTTGGCATTTATGCCAGAAGACAATTATTAGAGGCCTTACAACTTAACAGGCTCAATTCTATGCCACCAACAGTTAAGGATCTGCTCTCGGACAGGAATGATCAAATTACTTTAATAGTGGCTGAATTTTTGAGTGCTGTCCATGTAGAAAGACTGGGCCATTATAAAGAGATTTAGTGGTTCTTAATTGATCTGTGATGTGGTAGTGTTATATTGTATTATTTAAAAATCTGACTGGGACAAACTTTGTTTTGCTGAATTCATATTTTGCACAATTTGTATATGGTGTGTGTTTGATAATGTGTGGTTTCCTATGCCTAATAAAGGATTGACTTTTATAAAGAAACACTTAATCTTTCTATTATAGGAACATAAATATTAAAGTAGATGCAGATCTACAAAGGTCAAGGATTTCCTTGGTACAAAGTTGATATGCACAACAACTTCAAGTCAAAATTGGGTCTCAATGAGGCATTTCCAATATTACACTTTGGTGTCTATAAGTATCAGACAATTCTTTCCTATAAAGACATTTTTGAAACGTCTTTCTTTTTCTTTTGCTGGATCAGTTTTAAACCAAAAAGATGTTCCATATGGATTCCAAGGAATTTTAAAAAATTTGTTAGGTAATATAGCACATTCTCATTTTGCATTCTATTTCTTCTAAGCTCCTGGACATCTACTTTCTAGGACTTCAGGAAGCATTTGCAAACAACAGTTATGGGTTTGATCCATATGTTCACTTTATATTTATTTTACGGGGTAAATCAGATTTGGGGCAATCTTCTTTTTGAATGAAATGGGTTGATCTTTATATCAGCTGATCAGATCAGATGGAGTGTTTTTGGTTCTGCTATTATTGCAGCTGAAATCTCAGTTACTGGTGTGTGCTAAGAAGAAATATCTTGCTTTGCAACATTTATTGGTGTTTATTTATAGGCTATCTGCTTATGTCAGGACTACTTACTGTGCCAAATTACCATGCCTAAAGGTCCAAATGCCTTTCAATTTTGTGTTTGTCCCTTTTACAGCAGCAACTAGAGCTGTTTTCATCAAGATACCAGCCCTCAGGCTGAAAGTGGCTTCCCACAATACGTTAAAAGATGTTCACTATTTAATAGGTCGTGTGGGATCTATGAGGTCTTCAGATGTTCCTGGGTGCCAACTGCCTCCATCACAGGCATCATTGTCAATGGTTGGGGATGATGAGACCAGTAACATCTGGAGGGCCACATGTTCCTAACACATGATGGAAGGTATATACATTTAATTATATAACTACCTCCTGATCATGAGAAAAGATGGAATCCTAGATCTGGTCTCAGTTGGATGCATGTAAATCCAATTGAGTCTAGCAAGACTTTGGAGACCATGAGATGGACCTGGAAAAGAAACAGAGGGAAGCTATTACACAGGCTCTCCAAATGTGCCACTTCATTTCCTTTTGGCAATGACCCAGCCTGACATCTGACGCTGCAGCTGAAGAAAGAAAGAAAGAAAGAAAGAAAGAAAGAAAGAAAGAAAGAAAGAAAGAAAGAAGGCTGTTGTCTAATTCTGTTTTGAAGCCATCTGAGCTAGCAAATGGGTTTTCCAAAGACTTGTATTTTCTGGATCATGATCTGGATCATGATCTGGATCATGATCTGGATCTGAATTGACAAACTGGGCCCATGAATCAGAGCAGGGCACCTGTATTGCCAGGGAATAAAACAGAATGTGATCTGCCATGTAGCTGTAGCTTTAATATAAGGGACCTGGCTGTTTGAGAAGAAGTGAAAGCAACTTCATGACTTGGCTAGCTATCAAACACCTGACTGCATGAGGGATGGATGGAGCAAAGTAACCTTACATTGACTGAACTGCACAGATAAAGAATGCCATGGAAGGCTCATGCCCACGTGTCGACTCCCAGGTCGGATCAAAGGATGGGAATGGAATTACATCATGAATTACATCTGTTGCCAGCTTGGCATGAGACCTTCAGCAGCTGGAGACAGGGAGATCTTGATACATTGTTCTATGCTCCATTCCAGAATGTGAAGAGAATGACCGTCTGCCAGTCTGAAGTGTCCCAGATAATCCTTACAGATCTCCTTTGGCTGGGGAGACATGAAGAACTAAACCTATTCTATCTGTATTATGATTATTGTGGCCTAAGATCTTTTGCATCATCATCATCATCATCATCATCATCATCATCATCATTTATTTATACCCCTCCCATCTGGCTGGGTTTCCCCAGCCACTCTGGACGGCTTTCAGCAAAAGATTAAAAATACATTAAAACATCAGCCATTATAAATTTCCCTAAACAGGGCTGCCTGCTTATAGATTATATTATTGGCTTTACAGTTTATTCCAGTTGCTGTTGGTTTTCTGTTAGACTGTATTCTACGTTGCTGATCAATTTTTTTGCTAATGTTTACCAATTAATAAAAGTTTGTCTCTACCTAAGAGTCTCTGTCCAGTGGAATCCAAAGAACCTCTTGCGTGCCTGGTGGTTGCTATTGGCCAATACAGTAATACAACCGGATATACAGCACCTGTACACAGCCCTCAAATGTTCCACCACTCAGTTTCATTGGATGACCCTGAGTTCTAGTATTTAAAATAGAAATACCACCTGTTGCTTATAAAAGCTCCTTATCATTTAGCCTCTTAGTGACTTTTGGCCCTGGAATGAGACCCTGCAAATATCAAAGCTTGTAAGGAAAGTGTTCCACCCATCAGACCTCTTTCCGTTTGGATACCTTGATGTTGTCATGGAACAATCTTTTCCCTAATTTCTTCCTAAGGGTTTTTCATCCTTCCACTGGCTACGAACCACCTCCCTTGTGATGTCAGGCATTCCAGAACTCCTCCCATTTAGGCTATACCATTTCCTGATTGGCTGCTGATCATATCCAATCAGCATTCCACATAAAGCATAAATCCAGGGAAATGTTTATTTCAGATTTATTATACTACTTATTTTTTCAAAAGTTATTAGTTTTATTTTTTTTATTTAGGCCGGGTACATACTTTACCTTCAAAGTATATCCCCCAGAAGAATCCTTACTCCTCATAAACTCTGCTAGTAATATTGGAAAGCTTCCTGTCTCAACACTTATACCAGGAAATATGGCAAAGTACATTAGTGTAAATCTTCATTTGCAAAGTTAAAGCACAAAGACAAGGAACAGAAGCAGTGAAATTTCAACATGTTTGGTCTATATTTATTGAATGTATCATCATCAAAACATACATGCCACCAGTGCTATTTTTCCAGAAAAAAGGGTACCAGAACTGACCATGAACACTTCCCTTGCTCTCTTATGATGGTGTCCACCTGAGAGGTGTCAGAACTGAGTTCCAGTGAGTTCCAGATGCAAAAAAGCCCTGCATGCAGCTGACCTTCAACCAATGGCAACTCATCGAGAACTGTACTTGGAAAGAAAGACAGATCTGCACAAACTCTGAGCTGGACTCTGATAAGCTTCGTATGCTAGAAATCCCTCATAACTACGTACACTTGTTTCTCTTGTTGTTCGTTGTGTTTTTGTATGTTTATATGTCACTACCAATAAAATTATTGTTCAAAAATGATTTCTGTCATTCATAACCTGCCCTTCTGTATAAAGATACAAGAATCATATAACACTGGTCCTATCTCCAGTGGCTCCCAGTACATTTCTGAGCACAATTCAACATGTTGGTGCTGACCTTTAATCCTCTAAATGGCCTCAGCCCTGGATACCTGAAGGAGCATCTCCACCCCCATAGTCCAGCCTGGAGGTCCAGCTCCAAGGGTCTTCTTCTGGCTCCCTCACTGTGAGAAGTGAGGTTGCAGCGAACCAGGCAGAGGGCCTTCTTGTGGAACACCCTTCCATCAGATGTCAAGGAGATTAAGAACTACACAACTTTTAGAAGACATCTGAAGGCAGCCCTGTATCAGGAAGTTTTTAACACCAGAAGCTGAGAGACCAGTAGATTCAGAGGCTGCTCAATTGTGGGAAGAGCTGGACATTTTTGAGATAGTAGCTAGGCAACCAGGAGGGAGGGAGCCTTTAGGAGATTCTTCAGTCGAGAGTGGTGGGGAAGTCCCTCCCTCCCCTAGAACTCGGATGACTGAAAGGGTCCAGGAACAACAGAAGGCTTGTTACTTCTTATTGGAAACTACCGGAGGGAGAGGGAAACTCCCTTGCCAGCCAGTGTACTTGACATCCCCTGAAACAGGCCTTGCATTCTCCAGTGTCCATTGTATGCTGAATCAAGTTAAATATACCACATACAAATCACCACTCAAATGAGAAAAAACACACAGAAACAAAGCAGATGGAGAACCAAGAAAGAAAAAGAGAGAATTAAACCAGGCTCCCTCTGGCCTGTTATTAAAAGGCACCATGACCTTGGGAGAAAGATTACAGGACCAGTTCATTCTTGCTTAAACCAACTTATGCCAAAACAGCACCTGCTCTCAGCAGAATGGAAACTTACTTGTCAGTTAAAATGTTCCAGGCTGTACCAGCTAGAAAAGGCACCAACTTCTAGCTTGTGTCACACAGAGAAAATACCAGAACCTTCTACTTGAATCAATAGGTAAGAAATGATCTCTACACTTAGATTAAGGCTTTCTGTACCTCAAAAATGCAAGCCATCACACTGTGAGCTTTGAGTGATCTTTGAGTGAAGTGCATTATAGAAATTTAACAACAAGAAAACAAATAAAATGGCTACTAGGATCTAGGGGTCTAAGGAGACCACAAGCTTAACATGAGTCAAGAGTGTGATGCAGCAGGGGGACGGGGAACTAATGCTCTTCTAGGCTGCATCAACAGAAGTCTAGTGTCCCATTCAAGGGAAGTAATAGTACCACTCTACTTTGCCTAGGTCAGACCACACCTGGAGTGCTGTGTCCCATTTTGGGCACCACAATTTAAGAAGGATGTTGACAAGCTGGAAGGCGTGTAGGAGAGGGCAACCAAGATGATCAAGGGGCTGGAAATCTGTCATGGAGGCTTCAGTTTGAGATTCCTGCATTGCAGAGGGTTGGACTAGATGACTCTCTGAGTCCCTTCCAACTCTACAATCCTATGATTCTATGAGTCTAACTATCAAGCAAGTGGTAAAGCCACATGACAGGATGGAATCCCAACAGAAGTTCTGAAAGCCGGCTTCAGATCTTCCTTCATGAAACACCTCCACGACCTCCTCTCTCATAGTTAGGAACAAGGATCCATGGCATAATAATAATAATAATAATAATAATTTTTATTTGTTTCCCGCTCTCCCCAGCCAAAGCCAGGCTCAGAGCGGCTAACATCATATAAATAAGACAATATGCATAATACAATATGCAATATGCAAATAAATTAGAATAGAATCATAGAATAGAATCATAGAGTTGGAAGGGACCACAAGGGCCATCGAGTCCAACCCCCTGCCAAGCAGGAAACACCATCAGACCACTCCTGACATATGGTTGTCAAGCCTCTGCTTAAAGACCTCCAAAGAAGGAGACTCCACCACACTCCTTGGCAGCAAATTCCACTGTCAAACAGCTCTTACTGTCAGGAAGTTCTTCCTAATGTTTAGGTGGAATCTTCTTTCTTGTAGTTTGGATCCATTGCTCTGTGTCCGCTTCTCTGGAGCAGCAGAAAACAACCTTTCTCCCTCCTCTATGTGGCATCCTTTTATATATTTGAACATGGCTATCATATCACCTCTTAACCTCCTCTTCTCCAGGCTAAACATGCCCAGCCCCTTAGCCGTTCCTCATAAGGCATCGTTTCCAGGCCTTTGACCATTTTGGTTGCCCTCCTCTGGACACGTTCCAGTTTGTCAGTGTCCTTCTTGAACTGTGGTGCCCAGAACTGGACACAGTACTCCAGGTGAGGTTTGACCAGAGCAGAATACAGTGGCACTATTACTTCCCTTGATCTAGATGCTATACTCCTATTGATGCAGCCCAGAATTGCATTGGCTTTTTAGCTGCCGCGTCACACTGTTGGCTCATGTCAAGTTTGTGGTCAACCAAGACTCCTAGATCCTTTTCACATGTACTGCTCTCAAGCCAGGTGTCACCCATCTTGTATTTGTGCCTCTCATTTTTTTTTGCCCAAGTGCAATACTTTACATTTCTCCCTGTTAAAATTCATCTTGTTTCTTTTTGCCCAGTTCTCTAATCTGTCAAGGTCGTTTTGAAGTGTGATCCTGTCCTCTGGGGTGTTAGCCACCCCTCCCAACATTCAACATTCATTAAAATAATATAGAATAATATTAAATATCAGCATTTCAAAATTAAACAGAAATCCACTCAACAGTTACAATAAGTAATTTCTAAACTCCAATCAATAAAACAACAGCAAACCACAGTGCACAACATAATACAATACAAAATGAGAAGCAGAGACAGGAGGGTGGGGCAAGGCAGGTGGAAAGAGGACTTGCCTGATGGAGTCTCTCCCCTCACCTAAGAGGCATAAGAAACAAGTATCATACATACCACCAAGATGATATCTTTTTGTCAATAAATGTCAGGAGTGGAGAACCCTCTCCTCTCTTGGTAGCATCAAAGACAAGAAGAACAAGCAAGTTTGTTTGTCTGTTTATTATTTATTTATTTATTTTATTCAGTCATCTGGTTGCAAGACAAAGAATCCAGGTCTCCATGCAAAGGAGATGTTGCCTACTCTGAAGATCACCTCTTCCATCCCCAACAACATCCTGAGTACTTACAGAAAATCCCGGGAATCACACTCCTCTGCATTCTCTGTTCCTGAATGCAGAGTGAGTGATGAGCCCTTGGAGAAGGAGGATCTCCAAACTTTCCTTTTTTTAAAAAAAAGATATTTATTAGGGTTTTCACAATATTACAAAATGAAAAATAAAAAAAATAAAAAATACAAAATAAAAATAGTTAAAAACAATTCAATCTTTACATCACTTATCTTTCATTTGCTTGTTTCCCGGACCTCCTCATACCTCCCTTTTTTGTATTCCAGTTCAATTTATTAGTTCAGCAAATCCTTTCCCTCTTTATTTTATCCTGATCTTTTATCTTAATATATTATAGCATTAATTTTTTACCTGTTAAAAATCCATTTTTCCATATTCTTTTATACCATTACAGCTAAAAACCACTTAACTTCAATCCAACATCATTCTAGCATTCATTAATTTTGCAGTATTTCTGTAAATAGTCTTTAAATTTCCTCCAATCTTCTTCCACTGACTCTTCTCCCTGGTCTCGGATTCTGCCAGTCATTTCCGCCAATTCCATGTAGTCCATCACCTTCATCTGCCATTCTTCCAGAGTGGGTAGGTCTTGTGTCTTCCAATACTTTGCAATAAGTATTCTTGCTGCTCTTGTGGCATACATAAAGAAAGTTCTATCCTTCTTTAACACCGATTGGCCGACTATGCCCAGGAGAAAGGCCTCTGGTTTCTTCAAGAAGGTATATTTAAATACCTTTTTCAATTCATTATAAATCATCTCCCAGAAAGCCTTAATCCTTGGGCACGTCCACCAAAGGTGAAAGAATGTACCTTCAGTTTCTTTACATTTCCAACATTTATTATCGGGCAAATGATAGATTTTTGCAAGCTTGACTGGGGTCATGTACCACCTGTATATCATTTTCATAATATTCTCTCTTAAGGCATTGCATGCCGTAAACTTCATACCTGTGGTCCATAACTGTTCCCAGTCAGCCATCATTATGTTATGTCCAACATCTTGTGCCCATTTAATCATAGCAGATTTCACCGTTTCATCCTGAGTATTCCATTTCAACAGCAAGTTATACATCTTTGACAAAATCTTAGTTTTGGGTTCTAACAGTTCTGTTTCTAATTTTGATTTTTCCACCTGGAAGCCAATTTTCTTGTCCAAATTATATGCCTCCATTATCTGATAATAATGAAGCCAGTCTCGCACTTTGTTTTTTAATTTCTCAAAACTCTGCAGTTTCAGTTTTTCTCCATCTTGTTCCAAAATTTCCCAATATTTCGGCCATTTGACCTCCATATTGAGCTTTTTCTGAGTTTTCACTTCCATCGGTGACAGCCACCTTGGGGTTTTGTCTTCCAATAAGTCCTTATATCTTATCCAAACATTAAACAATGCTTTCCTGACAATATGGTTTTTAAATGCTTTATGTGCTTTGACCTTATCATACCACAGATATGCATGCCATCCAAATACGTTGTTAAAACCTTCTAAATCCAAAATGTCTGTGTTTTCAAGAAGCAGCCATTCTTTCAACCAGCAAAAAGCTGCTGATTCATAGTAAAGTTTAAAGTCTGGCAGGGCAAATCCACCTCTTTCTACAAAGGAGATGTTGCCTACTCTGAAGATCACCTCTTCCATTTCCAACAATATCCTGAGTACCTACAGAAAATCCCGGGAATCACACGCCTCTGCATTCTTTGCACCTGAATGCAGAGTGAGTGATGAGCCCTTGGAGAAGGAGAATCTCCAAACTTTCCAGGGAGATCTCTGCAGTCTGCTCTCTCACTCCCCCCTCCTCCACCACTACCTTCAGCTATAATTCAGTTCTGCCTTCTTCTCCTCTTGAAACTGCTGGAGACAAGGGGGCGAACCTTCCCACTCTCCCTCCTCTTCTGAGAGGAGCCAAACAGACTGAGTGGACACTTCCAAGTCTTCCTGTTCAGTTCATTCCCCGACAATAAAGAATTAAAATATCAGTTTTCCTTGGCTGGGTATACAGGACAGACTGAAGCAACCACAACCACTTCCAGCCATCAATCATGCAAGATGTGGCAGGAGAGGTCCCCTGCTAGACTCCTGGTGTGCTAGTCCTCAACACAGACCAAGCTATTATTCACACCTTGTAAAGGTCTGATTCAGGACAGCAGAGTCTAATTGGTTACTTAACTCAGTTGACGGCCACTGTGCATTGGAGCCAACTTCAAGAGGTAGAGGCCCCAATAAAATATTTTAGGGGGCCGCCATTGCCATTCAAATGATTTGTGTGCACTGTCTTGTGATCGATTATGCAGGGGGGAGCTTACCTGCTCCACCTCCAATATTTTATTCAAGTTGGCACCCCTGCTACCATGAATGCCATGAAAGGAGTAGCAAATGCTGCCAGTGCTGTGCCCACACTGGTGTGGACCCCAGTCATGCCCCCTGCCAAGTTCTGAAGAAATCAAAACAGTTCACTGTGTTTGTTGCCCAATGTTAGCTCTATATGAGAGTAAGGGCACTGGAATTTCCCAGTGATAAACCCAAAATTGTATTTGTGATTAAGCCACTTCCACCCTGCAGAGAAGGTGGGATTGCGGGCCTGACGGCCCCACCACGTGCACAGGGCTGGAGCCCTGCGCAACTGGGGGAATCCCAGGCCGCAGATAAAGGACTTGGGACAATGGAAGACCGAAGCATTTAAGGGGTATATTTGTAAGACCTTATGACTGATCACATCATACCTGACCTGGGGTTTGTTGCATTCTTCTCCTTTCAGGCATGCATTTGGATTATAGGCCACAGCATTGTCCACTGGGCTAGAAACCGTGCCATCAACTGTGGCCTGGAGAGCAGGCTGGATCTAGCCCCAAAAGTAAAAGTTCCCTGGATGTCACGGAGGGGGATGCGCTGGGCGGAATTTATGCGTGCTGTGAAAGCCAGAGCCACTTTGGAAGGTCCGCCAGATGCCCTGGTCATTCAGCTGGGATAACATGATTTGGCCTATCAAAAAGGCGTGGACTTGATGTGGAACATTTACAACGACTTCTATGATTTGATTGCCTCATTTCCAAATTTAACCCTAATTTGGTCATCACTGCTGGAGAGGCATGTATGGAGGGACTGTCGGTGCCCTATTGCAATAAACAAAGCTAGAAAGATTTTGGAACATTCGGTGGTGCATAGAGTGGCAGCACTGGGGGGGGGGGGTCGGTGTCAGAATATGAGCTCATCGCAGCTGCAGACATCCAGCTTGTTTACACCATGTGATTTGGCTGACTGTGGGAAACAGCGGTCCAGTCAGTTCACAGGGCAGTTCACCGGAATTTGCTCAGAGTGTAATATGAGACCTTCCTCTTGTGATTGTACAGGAAGTCTTACTCTCTTGTTTGCCGATGTTTGAGGAGAGCAGACATGTTTTCTGTAATGCTGAAGAGTCAGAAATAAAACCATGTAAATAGACGTTTCTGACTATCTCTTGTCCCTGCCGGGGGGCAGGAAAGAGTGGGTGTGCTCTTCCCACGCTGGGGAGGGTCACCTATAGAGACCTAGCCTGTGTTTGCTGGGGAATTCAGCCAGGGAGGTCACCGGAGATCAAGCTGGGTGCCTGGGAGAGTTGCCAGCTTCTCCCGATAGAGGTTTGATCCCAACAGTCGGGTCATTGACCACCCCAATATCCAGTTCAGCAAAGTGGCCCTCTACCAAGAGGATGGCGTCCATCTTTCCGATGCGGGAAATGATGTTTGGTTGGCTGATATAACTTCTGGGATTAGGAATTGGTTGCAGGTCTGAGGGTACTGGCCGCGAGCTTCTGCTCGAGTGGCGGTTAGGCATTGGTATGGGTATTGTTTTGTAGATGGAAGAGGGGAGGAAGTGCCATCACCTGCCCCACATATTGAAGGGTAGTCCAATAAAGGATTCCGGGGGGCGTGGCCCTGTCTGAAGACTATGGAGGTGAGGGCCTAAGGCACACCCCCGAGCGGTGACCCTGGGGGAGTTCCCAGTTGATGTGCATCAGCAGGACTCCCCCTACTGGTGGTTAACCCTTCCCGGACTTCAAGCGGACGGGCTGAAGCCAGATATAGTCAGATAGGACCAATGCCTAAGCCAATACCATTCATCACCTGTAACCAATAAAGTTGTGGCCTTATTTAGACCATGAACCTTAATAATTGTGTCATGTGTCTTTATTTCCACTGGGGGGGCGGGAACTCGCCGCGCAAGTCTGCTAGAAGGGGACATCAGGCCTGGGTGGCTCCCATTCTCATTGCCTAGAGTGCATAGTTGTCCTTATGTGCCTTGTAAGGTAGTGGCGATGGAGATCAGAAGGGGCAATGGGGCATCAAACACAGAGAGTAAGGAAACAAATATTGGTATGCATTGCAAATAAATACATTAAACAGAAAACAGGCTATAACTGGACCCTTCCATTCTTTATTTTTGTAGACATCTACATCTGAGCTTGCAGAATAAGGTCTTTTCAAGGTGTTTTTGAGGGCTGATGCCAAAGAGTCCCATAATCTAGATGGCAGAGTGTGGATTGTGCATTAAAACAGCGGGGTGGGGTGATCTCTTGATTTTGTTTTTGTGTAGTGATCATGAGATCCAGTTTCGTTCATCTTGAAAGTGTCTTCTTAGAGCCAAGCATCATCAGGCACCTTTTTACAAATGTACCCTATGCGTTCCTCACATTTTAATGCCATCCAGCAATTCAAACCGCAATCAAGGCCTATTGCAGCACAGTGGTTTTGGTGTGGGTTTCTAGGCTCACCTGTTCTCCAGTACCTGAAAAGAAAAGAGCAGCACTGATCAATCAAGATTGGATGTCTACTTCCTCACGTGCTCCCTATGCCTTCTACCATTAAAAAGATGTTCAGCTCTTTCTCTCTTAACATCCACCCACAATTGGAATGGATTTTTCTCCCTAGATTTTAGAATTCTAACCATGTAAGGAAAGCAACAACAACAACTGTGGGTCAAGATTGTCTCTTTTCTTTTCTCATAGGAAACTAGAAAAAAGTGAAGGTGTCACCTTTGGAGGCTCTTTGGTACACACAAGAACTTTCAGTCAATTTAGTTTGGACAGTATCCAATGCAGTACTTCTGCTATTGCCAGGATTTCCATTTCTGCAACAGAACTAGCCCTCTCTCCTCTCCATATGCACCCACATCCTCCTCAGATCTGCTCTGGACAGTTGTGGGTGTTGGAGAAAGAGTTTTGGAAGAGGTATCCTTACTCTCTCATAGCAGAGTTAGCACAGTAATGATTGTTGTTCTGAGCATATTAAAACAATGCTAGATTTGCATCCACCTTCATCCACCTCATCTCACATCCATCACCCACCCCATGAATGAGGAGAGCAATGACGCTATACAGGAAAAAAATGGCTATGTCCTCAGATGAATTACAAAATATAATCTATAACCACAAAGCCATTATAGGGTTGATTGAAATGATATGATATCTCTCACATATATATCTTATCTAAATCTAACATGATAGTTCTAAGTTTAGTCAATTTTCTATAGTTGACAAAGGTATCACCCTAGCCTCACTCTTATTGTCACTTGCATTCTCCAGTGTCCATTGTATACTGAATCAAGTCCCACTACACAGCACTAAAATTCTGTGATAAATGTATTCTATAACTCCCTCATTTTTAGCTCTCTGTGAATCTATTAAATTGATATTACTAGTAATGGTGTAGTAGGTGGTTGCTGTTTTTTTACTCCCATGAGATGTTTGGGTGAGATCTGTCCTTTGATCAAGTCTAAGATCACATACAGTAGTGGCTCCCAATTGGTGGTCCACGGACCACCCACCCAGGGGCTCCATGGTGTCATTCACATAACAAAAACTGCCACGGAGATATCAAAATGTTCAAAGGTAGGGTGGCCCATGGTGTGGCTTTTGAAAAACAAGGGGTCTGCAGTACTTAGCTAACTGGGACCCGCTGGCATACAGGGTTTAATTTCCCAGCTAGTATTATACAACCCCACGGCCAGTTTGTAAAGTTTACTCAATACGTTTGCCAAAAAGGATTAGTGGTTGGTATTGGGTGCATCAATAGAGATGAATGTCAATGGATTTTGTTCCAGGAGACATTGCACAAATTGAAAGTGACCCTCTGTTAATCTGGACTTGGAAATAAGTGCCAGACCAGCTTGCTGTTCTACTACCTAGCTGTGGATGAGTGAGATCTTACTCTGACCTTGTACATCCATCCACACAAGCTGAAAAGTGTTGTTAGATACTTAAAGGGAACCATGAAGTGTCTTAAACTGCCAGCTGACAGTGTTGCTCAGCTTTAGGTTCCTGCAAGTCCTTTTGAAGCTAAACTAAGGAGCACAAACCATTTAAAAGCATGCCTTCATCCTCTTCCGAATCACCACATTCATTAGGTTAGAGAAGCAGGAAGAGTAGCCTTCCTGCCTCTCCAACCTAGTGAGAAGCAGCAGCCGCTCATCTGGGCAATGATGTGGAGAAGTACATATGTAGGTCTTTGGTAGTAGAGAAAATTGCATGGCAAAATATATTTCGAAAGGGAAAAGATCAATTGTGTAAACAGAATCTGCAACTTTTTGGAATGCATGCCATTAACAAATGTTTCTGCAGAAACTTACGTGACTTTAGCCTCTATTCCTGACAGCCATCTCCATTTATTTGCCTTGTCTTTAAAGACTCCAAACCAATAAAACTTCTGACGCTTTTGTACTTGCCTGTTTATAAAATACTAGGGTAGGGGTGTTGAGAAAGAACAAATAAAATCTTTTAAGACAATGTCCCTTTCTCTGAGAGACTATATAGCCCTTTACAGAAATTCAACAGGCATAAAGCAAACACATTTTAAAAGCAGTGATCAAAACTATACTATACATTGTATTCCCATCACTAATAATATTTTCGTACAGTGGATGTGGTATTGTCCTCCTGATCAAAATTATGATGCTGATGATGATGATGATGATGATGAATGACGAAGATGATGGTGATGGAATCAAGGAAGCATCCCAAAGAGGAAATATTGTAGTGAAGGGGAACTTCACCTGCCCTCACCGAGACTGGCTACATATGTCCAGTCATGACACAGAGTTATAATTTCCAGATACTGTAAATGACTGTGCCAGAGAACAGTTGGTCTTGGAACCACCTAGCAGGACAGTGACCTGTGTGTCAAATACTCCAATTTCTGCATCCATGTTTGATGGTTGGTTCCAGAGACACTGGAATCAGTCCGTTGTGGTATGCTTGATGGCATGATGATGGGATCTCACCCATGTCTGTGCCTTGCAGCACCCCAGTAGCCCCTGTGCCAGAGCTAACGCGCTGGGAAAAGGATATACCTTGCAAGCTCCTCTAGAGTCATCTCCATGATACTCTCCTGCCAGAAGGTTAGCATGGTGAGGGTAGCCTTCCCCCCCCCCCCAACAACTGAATACATCGCAAAGAACAGAGGAAGAATTTACAGAGAATCCAAGTGATAGATGCCTCTGAAGTATCTACTCCTCCTCCTCCTTGAAGATCTCTATCCTGACTGCCAGCTTCTTTCTATTAGAGCTCAGCAGCTCCAAGAAACCTTATTGAGTCCCAGATGGTAGCAGCTCTCCCTGCCCCTCCCACCCCTTGGCTTGACTGATGGAATTGCTGTCTTGGCTGCATACAGGTACATGTAACCTTCCTAAATGGATAGTGATGATAGGAGCCCTTTGGCTCAAGAAGAGCCCCTACCTTTTCAATACTCGGCTTTGATGCTCACCTGTTCTTGAAATGTTTCCATAGAAAGGAGCTTGGCACCTTCATTCTCACATTTTTTTTTTGAATTGGCCCATGAATCGTGGTCATGAGAAAAGAAATAGAAAGTCCTTTGATATATAATCCAACCGTCATTCAAGTTTCCAATAAGGAGGTCTTTGAGTCAAGCCAGATATGGAGGAAGAAGAGAAAAAGAAAACAAGGTAGGGAATTTAATGGGAACCACCTTATATGTCTGTGCAGATTTCAGTTGTTTTTGTTAAGTTCATTTCTCTCGCCACATGATAACATATATTCATCTAGGAAGCTCAGAAATCTTAAAACAAGAAAAACATTAACTCTTCAACCCATGTTGATGGTGCAGTAAATACCTGGGTGGGCATAGGTGGAACAGGGAGTGCAGTCAAGAACCTCACCTACTTGTTTCCACCTGGATACTTAGGGCAGCATCAGGGCAGACTTGAAGGTTGGGAAGGGGGAGTAGCTGTGGTTTATCAAAATTCTCTTTCTCTCTACAAGCTCTCTGTTCAGTTGCAGAGGGGGCAGGAATCTAGTGTGTGTGTTGCTGGCATTGGGCAACTGGGACAGATGAGGGATTCTGCTGGTTTACCACCTGGTTTGCTGCCAAGCAGTCTCCCTCCCTGAGCTGACAGGATGGATCCAGTGGGCTTCCAAATCCAGTGGGCTTCCAAATGGCTCTGGGGGATTTTCCAGCTGATCTGACAGGTGCTCCTGCTGAGTTTTGGCTGATCTCTGGAACAACCGTATAACAACAACAACAACAACAACAACAACAACAACAACAACAACAACATGCTGCCCATCTGACTGGGTTTCCCCCAACCACTCTGGGCTACTTCCAAAAAATTAAAACACAATTGAACACCAACCATTTAAAACTTCCCTGAACAGGGCTGATGAGACAAGGTTCAAGAATGTGGACAAGGTCCTTGGATCAGTCAGGACAACCACTTGCACACTGGACCCTGCCCCTTGTGGCTGATACAAACTAGTAGGGAAGGGACAGCTGGCTGGACTAGAAAGGTTATTAATGCCTCTTTATAAGAGGGGCTGGTCCCAACCTGCTTGAAGGCAGGAGTGGTAAAACCACTCCTTAAGAAATCTTCCCTGTGCTCAGAAAATCTAAGTAACTGCCTGCCGGTTGCTAATCTCCCCTTCCTGTGCAAGGTTCTTGAGTGGGTGGTTATGGACCAGATCCAGGTGCTCTTGGAGAAAACTGATTTTCTAGATCCTTGTCAATCAGGATTTAGACCTGGTTTTGGAAAAATGTCTTTAAAAGCAATCATATTTCCAAAGGTCAAAGAGAAAGAGGGAAATGGCATTATACGACTCTCACAAAATTTGTGCTTTGGTGCTGAACATCTTTACCTTGCTTTTTATGTACAATTGACGTAATATGCGTGTAAGAGGTGTGTGCTGCCAAGCCGGCATAGATAAAAACTCCAGGCTCGCTGCCAGTTACAATCTCTTTGATTTATTTACAAAGTTCAAAGAAACATCTTCAGTGTTTCAGAGCATGTCCGACCCTGTCGGCAAAGATGCCGTGTCTGGTTTCTTTTTACTTTTTCTTGCCCAACATGCAAGTCAGCGGAAACTACGCCTCTGATTTCCTCTGTTTACAGAATGACTAGTTCCGGGCTCATCCTCCCCCCTCCCTGCCTCCTCTTCGCTGTCAGACAACAGACTACTAATAATCTCTTTCGGCTCTCTATAAGTGCTGGTCTCGATGGACTGACTTCTAGATATTACAGAACTTTGAAAGAATGGTTAATACAACCTTTAAAGGAAGTCTGTAATGAAATATTGGAAGGGAAAAGAGCACCCGAGTCGTGGAAGGAAGCATACATTACACTTATACCAAAATCAGAGTCTGAAAAGACGCAACTTAAGAACTACCGTCCCATATCACTGCTTAACGTGGATTATAAAATTTTTGCAGACATTTTGGCTAAAAGTTTAAAAAAGGTGTTAGCAGAAGAAATTCATAAAGACCAAGCGGGTTTTCTCCTGGGCAGACATTTGTCTGATAATATGAGGAATATAATTAACATTTTAGAAAAGTTACAAGTGAAGATTAATACTAAAGCAGTTCTGATTTTTGTGGGCGCGGAGAAAGCCTTTGACAATATTTCTTGGAGTTTTATGAAGAAGAATCTATTGGGGATGGGGGTTGGTAAAGGTTTTGGAAATGGTATAGGTGCAATCTACTCAGAACAAAAGGCTAAATTAATTGTGAATAATGTAGTGACGGAAGAATTTAAGATTGAGAAAGGAACACGACAAGGTTGCCCAATCTCTCCATTGCTTTTTATATCGGTCCTGGAGGTTTTATTAAATATGATTAGAAGGGTCCAATTGGTAAAAGGTATCCAATTGGGAACCAAACAGTATAAGTTGAAAGCATTTGCCGATGATTTGGTATTGACTTTACAGGAGCCAGAATCAAGCACTTAAAGAGTATTAGAATTGATTCAAGAATTTGGTCAGGTAGCAGGTTTTAAGTTGAATAAGACGAAAACTAAAGTTTTAGAGAAAAATCTAAATGAGATTGAGAGAGACAAGTTCCAGAAGGAGACAGGATTGACATTGGTTAAGAAAGTGAAATATTTAGGGGTAAATATGGCTGCTAAGAATGTGAATCTATTTAAGGATAACTATGAAAAATGTTGGACGGAAGTGAAAAAGGATTTAGAAATATGGTCAGATTTGAAGCTATCATTGCTAGGTCGAATTGCTGTGATTAAAATGAATGTATTGCCAAGAATATTATTTTTGTTTCAAACATTGCAAATTTTGGACAAGATGGACTGTTTCAAGAAGTGGCAGAGAGATATCTTTAGATTTGTCTGGCAGGGCAAGAAGCCTCGTATAAAATTTAAAATATTAACAGATGTTAAAGAAAGAGGTGGATTTGCCCTGCCAGACCTCAAACTTTATTATGAATCAGCCGCATTTTGTTGGCTGGAGAGAATGGATGCTTCTTGAAAATACGGATGTGTTGGATTTGGAAGGTTTCAATAATGTATTTGGTTGGCATGCATATTTGTGGTATGACAAGGTTAAAGCACATAAAGCGTTTAAAAACCATATTGTTAGAAAAGCACTGTTTAATGTTTGGGTAAGATATAAGGATTTGCTAGAAAGCAAAACCCCAAGATGGCTGTCACCAATGGAAGCAAAGGCTCAGAAAAAACTCAATATGGAGGCCAAATGGCCGAAGTATTGTGAAATTTTGGAACAAGAGGGAGATAGATTAAAATTGCAGAGTTTTGAAAAATAAAGTGCGAGATTGGCTCCCACAATTTCGGAGGGCCCTTGAAGCATGCTCTTAAATACTACATGGAATGCAGCGATGAATACGGAAAAGGGTCTGATCTGATGAGAAGGGCTAAAAACACTACTAAGTTGGAGTTATCACGAGCAAGTGACTACAGCCACAAATATGAAGAAAAGCCGCGGAAGGGCCATGGAAGTGACCTGAGGGCCTCGGACATAAGGTCATCGGGTTAGATTGAGGAATAAGGACTGACAAATCCCGGAACCAGGAGGAAGGGACGTTGGATAAAGATTGGACTTGTTTATATGCTTTTTCTCTTTTTTTAACTAATAGAATGCTTTATAAAGTTGATGAATGATAGAATGATAGAAAAATGAATGATAGAAAAATGTTGGAAGAAATTACCTGGCTTTAGTAAAGATGCATAAAGAATTATGAAAGAACATTATGAACACAAGAAGTTGGTAAAGTTAAGACTTAAATTTTAAACTTTAAGGTTTATTTTATTATAGAAAGATAGGATTAAATTAGTTGAGAATTTCTTTTATGTTTTATTTTTTTTGAAATATGGAAAGGAAAGGATATGCTGGGATAATTAATAACTAGAATACAAAGGAAGGGAGGAGGAGGAGGTCTAAGAAAGAAGGTAATGACAGTTAAGGATCTGAAAATAATGAATTTGTTCTGTTTTCTTTTATTTTTCTTCTGTATCTTCTATTTTCTCATTTTTTTTATTTTTTTTATTTTTGTGTGTGTAAGCTTTTGTATTTTTTACTTTTTGTTTTTGTGTAAGCTTTGTATTTTTTGAAATTTCAATAAACATCATTAAAAAAAAAAAAGAGATGTATAATGTGGATAAAAAAATAGGCTTCCAAGTGGAAAAATCAAAATTGGAAACAGAATTGTTAGACTCTAAAGTTAAGAATTTGTCAAGAATGTATAACCTGCTGTTGAAATGGAATACTCAAGATGAAACGGTGAAATCTGTTATGATTAAATGGGCACAAGATGTGGGACATAACATTATGATGGCTGACTGGGAACAGTTATGGACCACAGGTATGAAGTTTACGGCATGTAATGCCTTAAAAGAGAACTTAATGAAAATGATTTATAGGTGGTACATAACACCAGTCAAGCTTGCAAAAATCTATCATTTGCCTGATAATAAATGTTGGAAATGTAAGGAGACTGAAGGTACTTTCTTTCAACTTTGGTGGACATGCCCAAAGATTAAGGCTTTCTGGGAAATGATCTATAATGAAATGAAAAAGGTATTTAAATATACCTTCTTGAAGAAACCAGAGGCCTTTCTCCTGGGCATGGTCGGCCAATTGGTGTCAAAGAAGGATAGAAATTTTTTTATGTATGCTACGACAGCAGCAAGAATTCTCATTGCAAAGTACTGGAAAACACAAGATCTACCTACCCGGGAAGAATGGCAGATGATGCTGATGGACTACATGGAGTTGGCGGAAATGACGGGCAGAAGCCGAGACCAGGGAGAAGAGTCGGTGGAAGAAGATTGGAAAAAATTTAAAGTATACTTACAGAAACATTGTAAAATTAATGAGTGTTAGAAGGATGCTGGAAATAAGCTATATGACTTTAGCAGAAATGTTATAAAGAATTAAGTATGAATAGATTGACAATGGGTAAAGGTGCAAAAATTAAGGTTAAATTGCGTTAAGATAAATTATGGAACTAAATTTGAGAAAGAGGGAAAGGATTTGCTGGAATAATTAATTGAACTAGAATACAAAAAAAGGAGGTGTGAGGAAGTCGAGGAAATAAGCAAATGAAAGATAAGGATATGAAAATACGGGGGTTTTGTTTGTTTGTTTGTTTTTCTTCTATTTTTTTAAAAGTTTGTGTTTTTTAAATGTTTCTGTTTTTTCTTTTTTAATGTTTTGATGTACTGTTGTTGTTTTGTTTTATTGTATTTTCTTTTGTTTTTGAGGTTTTGTAACTGTTCACTGCTTGCTGTTCTTTTTTTTGTAATTTTTAAACTCTAATAAATATCTTTTTAAAATATATATATATATAAGTGCTGGTCTCTCCCGTTAGCTCTTTCCCCGTTTGCCTCTCCATGACATCCACCCCCTCCCACTCAGGAGACCCGACTGTACCCATATCGCTTTCCTCTGGGGTGGTAGGGGAGAAGCCAGCAAAACTACCCTCTTCCTCATCCGTCTTTTCGAACACCCCCCTCCAACCCCCAATTCCTGGTGTTCCCCAGTCTACGCCTTCGTCTTCTTCTTCCTCCTCATCCGATGCTGGGAAACCTTCGAATTCCTCTTCGTCCTCTGTTGTTTCGAACACCTGTTGAAAGAACCTACCCCTGGTTTTGGGTTTGTCAGGGGGGAAACTGTGGAACCCCTCCACCAGGCCCTTGTCGGTGATACTGTCTTCCGGGACCCAGGTATTCTCTGATGTCGGGGCCCCTTCCCATGCCACCAAATATTCCAAATTCCCCCCTCTCCAACGAGAGTCCAGTATTTCTGTTACCTCGTTGCACTGCTCCCTTTCCTCCATTTCGGGTGGTTGGCTTTCCCCTTCCCCACTACCCTGCCTCCTTCCCCCCTCCCTGTAGGGGAAGAGCAGTGACCTGTGGAACACCGGATGGATTCTCATGCTCTCTGGCAACCTAAGCTTAAACGCCACCGGATTTATTTGTTGGATAACCTCAAAAGGCCCCACCTTCCTGGGCTTGAGCTTTTTGCAGCCCCCTCTCCAAGGCAACCCTTGCGTGGACAACCACACCTTGTCCCCAACCCTGATGGCCTCCCCTGGCCGCCGATGTTTGTTGGCTTCCTTCTTGTATAACTCCTTAGCCCGTTCCAAATTCAACTGCAGCTGTCTGTGGATCGCTTCCATCTCCTCCACAAACTGTTCGGCCGCTGGAACACTCCACGACTCCTCCCCCTTTCTGGGGAAAGCCCTGGGATGATGCCCGTGATTGGCAAAGAACGGAGTCATCCCAGTGGATACATTCTCCGCGTTAATGTAAGCAAACTCTGCCAGGGCTAGTTTGTCAACCCAATCGTTCTGTTTTTGACTTACATAACACCGCAAATACTGTTGTAAAACAGCATTCGCCCTCTCCGCTTGCTCATTGGTCTCGGGGTGCCTAGCCGTAGTGAAACTCACTTCCACCTGGAGCAGCCCCATGAGTTTGCGCCAAAAACATGAGGTGAATTGAGCCCACCGGTCCGAAACCACCCGTGCAGGTTTCCCATGTAACCTAAACACATGCTCTACGAACAGCTTGGCTGTTTATTCTGCCGTCACGCGTGCGAACAGGGCACGAAGTGGCACATTTTGGCCAGGAGATCCACCACCACCATGATAGTGGTCTTACCCTTACATCTGGGCAGATCAGTGATAAAATCCACCCCTACCACCTCCCACGGCTTTCCGGGTGTCGGCAACAGTTCCAGCAACCCCGCTGGTGCCGCCCTTTCCCCTTTGGCCCTCTGGCATGTGTCGCACATATTCCTTTACATCCTCTCTCACCCTTGGCCACCAAAATTCCCGTGTGGCCAGTAGCATGGTCTTATGGTGTCCAAAATGCCCTGCCGTGCAGCTGTCGTGGAGTTGCTTGAGAATTCTGCCCCGAATGTTTTCTCCTGGAACGTACAAGGCCCCCCTATGGTACAGAAGCCCCCCTTTCACTTCAAAACCCCCCTCGGCACCCCCTTTTTCTCTTAACTCCCCCATCTTTTGTCTGGCAAAGTCATCGTCTCTGAGCAGTTGCATTAGTTAGTTGTCCTTGACTAAAGTCCCCCCACACATCCATTTGCTCTCGGGGAACATCAGTCTTGCCACCGGAGGTCCTTCCTCATCATATACTTGGGTTTCCGGGAGAGCGCATCAGCCCTCGCATTCTGCTCTCTCGGCACATATTGGATCTTAAAGTTGAAGTTGGCAAAGAACTCTGCCCATCTTATCTGTCTCTGGCACAACACCCGTGCCGTACACCAGTACTCCAAATTTTTGTGGTCGGTGCACACCAAAATTTGGTGCTTTGCCCCAATCAGGAAGTGCCTCCATTGTTTGAAAGCAGCGACGATCGAAAGCAATTCCTTATCATAGATGGTATAGTTCTGCTCCGATTTGTTCAGTTTCCGCAAAAAAAAGCACACGGCCGCCACTCCCCCTTTCGATCTGGCTGCAGCAGCACCGCCCCTATCGCCCGATCCGACGCATCTGTCTCCACCAGTAGTGGTTGAGCAGGGTCGACGAGGATCAGTTGCTCCTCCAAAGCGAAAGCCCTCTTAAGCTTCTCAAACCCCTCTTGGGCCGCCTGTGTCCACTGAAACCTCTTCTTGACACTGAGACAGTCCGTTATGGGCACCGTCAGTTTTTGCGAAATCTTTGATGAATTTCCTGTAGAAATTGCTGAAACCCAGGAAACGCTGAACACCTTTCCTGGTCTTGGGGCTCTCCCATTCCACCACCGCCTTCACTTTCTCTGGATCCATGGCCAAACCCTGGTCCGACAGCCAGTACCCCAGGAATTCGACTTCCTTTGCGTGGAACTGACATTTCTCCAGCTTGACCCACAAGCGATGCTCCTTAAGTTTGCTCAGGACCTGACGTAAGTCCTTCACGTGCTGTTTCTCGTCTTCGGAGTACACGAGCAAGTAGTCCAAAAAGCAAACACAGTTCTTGTAGAGCAAAGGTCCTAGTACGTGGTGCATGAAGGCTTGGAAACAGTGACTTCCCAAGAGGAAAGCCCAAGAGGGCATGGTCGGCCAACTGGTGCGAAGGGAAGATAGGAACTTCTTTATGTATGCGACAGCAGCAGCAAGAATACTCATTGGGAAATACTGGAAGACACAAGAATTGCCCACCCGAGAAGAATGGCAGAGAAAAGTGATAGACTATATGGAACTGGCTGAAATGACCGGCAGAATTCGAGATCAAGAAGAAGGGTCGATGGAAGAAGATTGGAAAAAATTTAAAACATATCTTCAGAAATACTGTAATATAAAAGAATGTTAGAAAAGGTTGGAGAAGAATGTTAGATCGTATTGGCAGACAGAGTATAATGGAATAAGTAAATATGAAGTGTAAAATAAAAGATAGAGGAGAATTAAATATTTTTGAATGTTAAAATAAGTAAATGAAAAGAAGGTTAGAAGGGTTTGCTGGAGATACGATTCAAATTAGAATACAAAGCAGAGAAGTGAGAGGAAGTCACGGAAATAAGTAAATGGGAAAACGGTTCTAATGGTTTGATTTGATTTTTGTTATTTTTGTATTGTGATTTTTGTCTTTTGTATGTTTTTTCTGTATCGTGTGTTGTTCTTTTTCTGTAGGATGTATGTGATTTGTTTTTCTTTTTTTGCTTTTTTCTTTCTATGTAATTTTAAAATTGGAATAAATATTCTTAAAAAAAAAAAAGGAAACAGTGACTTCCGCACTGCAAACCGAAGGGAATGACTAGATACTCAAACGCCCCCATCGGAGTGAACATGGTGGTCTTCCACTCATCCCCCTCTCGCACTCAAATGAGGTTGTATGCCCCCCCGGAGGTCCAGTTTGGTGAAAATCTTCCCTTTCTGCACCCAGGCCAGAACATCGTCGATCCTCGGCATTGGGAAAGCCACCGGTTCCGTCAGGCTGTTCAGGATTCTAAAGTTCAGTACATGCCTCCTTTCTTTAGTCGATTTCTTGTCCACGAAGAACACGGGGCTCCCCCCTGCCCCCTTGGATTCCCTGATGAACCCCCTTCTTAGATTTTTCTCAATAAACTCCTTTAGGTCCTTGAGCTCTCCCTCCGACATGGAATAGGTCTTTCCCACCGGCAACGTGGCCCCCGGGACCAGGTTGATCTGACAATCATATGGTCGATGCGGCGGCAACGCGTCCATCTCTTTCTTGCTGAACACCTCCTGTAGATCCCTGTAACACGACGGGATCTCGGTCGTCCCTGCTCTGCATGCTGCTGCCCTCCTGCCCTCCCTTTGTTGAGGTTGCCCTTGAGCCAGGCAGTTCTCCATGCAGTGCGTCGAACCGAACGTCAGGGACCGTTGGTGCCAGGAAACCACCGGATCGTGCAAAGCCAACCAGCTCGTGCCCAATATGATAGGCGGACCTGCCAGTGTGGCCACGTGAAAGGCGATGACCTCTGAGTGGGTAGCCACATGCATTCGCATTGGAGGTGTTCGATGCGTCACTTCACCTCCCAGCAGTTCTCTTCCATCAATTGTGGTCACTTGCAGAGGAAAATCCAAAGGCCTCAGGTTCAGTTGGTGCTGCGCTGCAAACTCCTTGCTAAAAAAGGACACTGAAGCACCAGAATCAACTAGCGCCAACTCCTCCACCGCCTGTCCATTTGGGAGTTCTAGGACCACCTTCAACACTATGCTTGCTTTGGGGTGCCCAAACTGAGGATTTTCTGTGTTGCTCCCGCCTGGCTATTGCCCCGGTCCACCACCAGCCAGGCTTCTTCGTTTCCCGAAGGCTGGGCTTCCTCTGCCTCCGCCTGTTGGGTGGCCCCCACCATTTCCTGCCAGTTACGACGCTCTGGACACACTCTGGCAAAGTACCCAGTTTTCTGACACACAAAACATCTTTTTGCCGCTTGCCAGTCTTTTTTCTCCTTCCCGCCCGAACGTTGGCCTTTCAAACTCTCCCGTGCCCGGGCTGTGCCTCTCTCCATAGGCTCCTGCTCTTGTTGACATTCTGAGGAAGCTGCAGGCATCTCAAGAATGCGGTCACCATGGAAACTCCGCTCTCTGCCTTGCTTCCTTTCCCGTCATCTGGCTTCCTGTCTCAAACCCACCCCAAGAGCAGCCTTCGTTAATTCGTCCATATTTTTAGGGTGTGTGCCCCTTGCAAGCTCGTCCTTAATTTCTGGGTTAAGTCCATTTTTAAACAAAGCTTGTACAGGGTCTGCCTCTAAATCCCAACCCAGTTTCTGCACGTGCATAGCAAATTCTGACCAGTAACTGCGTACCGTGGATCTGCCTTGTTTCAAAGCCAAAAGCTCCTCCTGCATCTTGTCAATTAAACTTTGATCTGCATAGATAAAGTCCATAGCTTGCCAAAACTTGGCCACATTTCTGAGGGCTTCATTATTTGAGGCTATTAACGGCCGGATCCAACTTCAAGCCCCTACCGTCAGGTGTCTAATTATGTGAGCAACTTTCTGGGCATCGTTCCCAAACTTGGCCGATTCAAGCTCTAAAAAAATCTCATTTCGGTTTTGAAATCCAAGTAACTTTCCGGGTCGCCATGGAACCGTTCCACCCACACTGACTTGCCCCCATCTGCCGATAGCCCACCTGTGGGTTCTCTCTGAGCAGCCCTGGCTTCTTCCAGACGGGCCTGCAAGTCGGACGATCTCTGTTCCAGAGCGACATTTCACTTTCTCAGCTCCAAGACCTCCTTCTCCATTCTGAGGCTTATTCCTTATTCCGCCAGCTTTCCAGCAGCAAATTGGGGACGCAGCATGCTGTAAGAGGTGTGTGCTGCCAAGCCGGCATAGATAAAACCTCCAGGCTTGCTGCCAGTTACAATCTCTTTGATTTATTTACAAAGTTCAAAGGAACATCTCCAGTGCTTCAGAGCATGTCCGACCCTGTTGGCAAAGATGCCGCGTCTGGTTTCTTTTTACTTTTTCTTGCCCAACATGCAAGTCTGCGGAAACCACGCCTCTGATTTCCTCTGTTTACAGAATGACTAGTTGCGGGCTCATCCTCCCCCCTCCCTGCCTCCTCTTCGCTGTCAGACGACAGACTACTAATGATCTCTTTCGGCTCTCTATAAGTGCTGGTCTCTCCCCTTAGCTCTTTCCCTGTTTGCCTCTCCCTGACAATGCGTTCATTCCCATTCTTTGCTCTCGCATCTAAAGCTTTATAGACAATTTTATAATCACTTTACCTATTATGTGTTCAGTGGCCAAGGGGTCAATTCACTATGTGAGTGGGCTTGAGGGTTTCTGTCTGATGATGGGCTTGTGAAACAGGAGAGAGGTTTTGCTGTTGCACGAATCACCCCACTGCCCAGCAGTCTCTCTGACCAAGTTGGCGAAAGTTGCCTTCAAAGTGCTGCTCATGAATCTTTCTCTTTCAGTTGACCGCTTTTGATTGTCTCTGCAGAGGCAGGGCTCTCATGGGTGAAAATAATAAAGAACAGGTCTTTTACCTTACCTGTTTTGATTGTCTCTGCTATAGCAAAGAATGGAAAAGTCTTTTCTTTCCTAACCATAGAGGCTAAGTCAATTCAAAGGTTCAGGAGAGCTGAACTAAATATCTCTGATGTTTCTCTAGGGTGGCCCCATGCAAAGGAGCGCAGCACTCTGCTCTGGCTCTAAGAGTTTTCAGCTAGAGGAGGGGCTTTCAGCTGGCGCAGACTTAGGGCAGGTTCCCACTGCACTACTATTCTTCAGCATCGTAGGGTAGCTTACCAATTTCTTTTTGCAGTTCATCATTTTTGTTGGCAAGATACAGCAATTCCTCTGATGCGTTTTGAGCTACTGCGAGTATTCCGAAGTCTAAAAGATTTGAAATAGTTTAAGGCAAAAGAGTATCTGAAATAACAATCTGCAAATATTAAGAAACCATTTTCAAACATTTTCAAACATTTTAAGACCCATGCAATCCACTATCCTATTCTCATATTAAAAGTGGCTCATGAAGTATCTCTAATGTTCCCCTCCTATGTTTTCTGCAGGGAATCACAGGGTCACAAACCAATTCCCCACTGAGTCACACAGTAAAGCCAAATATACAAAGATTACTTTGCAGTTTTCTATTATGCTTTGTCCCCTTAATGGATCAGTGCCTTGCTGTGGCGAAGGGGCTTGAATAACTCAGAGAAGCTATGAGCTATGCCATGCAGGGCCACCCTGATGGACAGGTCATAGTGGAGTGTTTTGACCAAACACGATCCACCTGGAGCAGGAACCGGCAAGCCACTCTAGTATCCCTGCCAAGAAAACCCCATGGAAAAAGACAATAGGCATATAAAAGTTATGACGCTGGAAGATGAGCCCCTCAGGTCGGAAGGTGTCCAACATGCTACTGAGGAAGAGCGGAGGACAAGTACAAGTAGAGCGGAGGACAAGTACAAGTAGATTCAGAGCTGATGAAGTGGCTGGGCCAAAACCAAAAGGTCACTCCGTTGTGAATATGCCTGCAAGCGAAGGGAAAGTCCAATGTTGTAAATAAAAATATTGCATAGGAACATGAAATGTAAGAACCATGAACCTTGGTAAGCTGGATGTGGTCAAAAATGAGATGGCAAGAATAAATATTGACATCCTGGCATCAGTGAACTAAAATGGATGGGAATGGGCAAATTCAGTTTGGATGACCATCATATCTACTACTATGGGCAAGAATCCCATAAAAGAAATGGAGTGGCCCTCATAGTCAACAAAAGAATGGTGAAAGCTGTACCGGGATGCAATCTCACAAATGACAGAATGATCTCAATACGAATCCAAGGCAGACCTTTTAACATGACAGTAATCCAAGTTTATGCACTAACTACTGCTGCTGAAGAAACTGAAATTGATCAGTTCTATGAAGACTTACAACACCTGCTAGAAATGACACCAAAGAAGGATGTTCTTCTCATTATAGGGGGTTGGAATGCTAAAGTAGGGAGATTCAAGAGCTAAAAGGAACAACTGGCAAGTTTGGCCTTGGAGTTCAAAATGAAGCAGGGCAAAGGCTAATAGAGTTCTGCCAAGAGAATAAGCTGGTCATCACAAACACTCTTTTCCAACAACACAACAGACGACTCTACACATGGATATCACCAGATGGGCAGCATCAAAATCAGATTGATTATATTCTCTGTAGCCAAAGATGGAGAACCTCTATATACTCCGCAAAAACAAGACCTGGAGCTGACTGTGGCTCAGATTATCAGCTTCTTGTAGCAAACTTCAAGCTTAAACTGAAGAAAGTAGGAAAAACCATTGGGCTGGTAAGATACAATCTAAATCAAATCCCTTATGAATACATAGTGGAAGTGAGGAACAGGTTTAAGGATTTAGATTTGGTGGACAGAGTGCCTGAAGAACTATGGATGGAGGCTCATAACATTATACAGGAGGCAGCAACGAAAACCATCCCAATGAAAAGGAAATGCAAGAAAGCAAAGTGGCTGTTCAATGAGGCCTTACAAATAGCGGGGGAGAGAAGGCAAGCAAAATGCAAGGGAGATAGTGAAAGATACAGGAAATTGAATGCAGATTTCAAAAAAAATAGCAAGGAGAGACAAGAAGGCCTTCTTAAATGACCAATGCAAAGAAATAGAGGGAAACAATAGAATGGGAAAAACCAGAGATCTGTTCAAGAAAATTGGAGATATGAAAGGAACATTTCATACAAAGATGACCATAATAAAGGACAAAAGTGGTAAGGACCTAACAGAAGCAGAAGACATCAAGAGGTGGCAAGAATACACAGAGGAATTATACCAGAAAGATATGGCTGTCTCGTACACCCCAGGTAGTGTGGTTGCTGACCTTGAGCCAGACATCCTGGAGAGTGAAGTCAAATGGGCCTTAGAAAGCACTGCTAATAATAAGGCCAGTGGAAGTGATGATATTCCAGCTGAACTATTTAAAATTTTAAAAGATGATGCTGTTAAGGTGCTACACTCAATATGCCAGCAAGATTGGAAAACTCAGCAGTGGCCAGAGGATTGGAGAAGATCAGTCTACATCCCCATCCCAAAGAAGGGCAGTGCCAAAGAATGCTCCAGCTACAGGACAATTGCACTCATTTCACACGCTAGCAAGGTTATGCTTAAAATTCTACAAGACAGGCTTAAGCTGTATGTGGACAGAGAACTCCCAGAAGTGCAAGCTGGATTTCGAAGGGACAGAGGAACCAGAGACCAAATTGCAAACATGCGCTGGATTATGGAGAAAGCTAGAGAGTTCCAGAAAGACATCTACTTCTGCTTCATTGACTATGCAAAAGCCTTTGACTGTGTCGACCACAGCAAACTATGGCAAGTTCGTAAAGAAATGGGAATGCCTGATCACCTCATCTGTCTCCTGAGAAATCTCTATGTGAGACAAGAAGCTACAGTTAGAACTGGATATGGAACAACTGATTGGTTCAAAATTGGGAAAGGAGTACAACAAGGCTGTATATTGTCTCCCTGCTTATTTAACTTATATGAAGAAATCATCATGCGAAAAGCTGGGCTGGATGAATCCCAAACCGGAATTAAGATATCAGATATGCAGATGACACAACCTTGATGGCAGAAAGTGAGGAGGAATTAAAGAACCTTTTAATGAGCGTGAAAGAGGAGAGCGCAAAATATGGTCTGAAGCCCAACATCAAAAAAATGAGGATCATGGCCACTAGTCCCATCACCTCCTGGTAAATAGAAGGGGAAGAAATGGAAGCAGTGAGAGATTTTACTTTCTTGGGCTCCATGATCACTGCAGATGGTGACAGCAGTCACGAAATTAAAAGAATCCTGCTTCTTGGGAGAAAAGCAATGACAAACCTAGACAGCATCTTAAAAAGCAGAGACATCACCTTGCCAACAAAGGTCTGTATAGTAAAAGCTATGGTTTTCCCAGTAGTGATGTATGGAAGTGAGAGCTGGACCATAAAGAAGGCTGATCGCCGAAGACTCTTGAGAGTCCCATGGACTGCAAGAAGATCAAACCAATCCATTCTTAAGGAAATCAGCCCTGAGTGCTCACTTGAAGGACAGATCCTGAAGCTGAGACTCTAATACTTTGGCCACCTCATGAGAAGAGAAGACTCCCTGGAAAAGACCCTGATGTTGGGAAAGATGGAGGGCACAAGGAGAAGGGGATGACAGTGGACGAAATGGCTGGACAGTGTTCTTGAAGCTACAAACATGAGTTTGACCAAACTGCGGGAGGCAGTGGAAGATAGGAGTGCCTGGCGTGTTCTGTTCCATGGGGTCATGAAGATTCAGACATGACTAAACAACTAAACAATGACAACAACATTATGCTTTGTGAGATCTAAGAAAATAGAGGTGCCAAAACTCTTTTTCTGATGAATACTGGGTTGCATTCCACATAATTCTAAGGAGGACATTATGTCAGTGCAGGAATTTCTCATTGTGCAATGCAATCTTCAGCCCCTTTCCCTCCAATCTGTTCCCCACCCTGCAGAGCAGCTTTGGTGATGGCATGCAGGGAGAAGGGGGGGCAAAGTTCCCTTGTGCCAGTGCTAAAATCTTGCAGTAGCAAAAACATTGTGAATTACAATTTGATGGGGAAGGACAGCATTTCTAGTGGGGGGATGTGAGAATCACAACCATCTGCTTTTCTTCCTGCTGAGCAATGAAACGTGATAAACTCTATTGGGTGATGAGTTTCATTGAATAAATGTATTGCTTACACAATATGAATCCCAAAGTGAACTACAGGAATTGAAGCCTGTTTAAATTAAACAAGGTCTAGCAAAAGTGAGGATGTGCATAAAAAAATGCTTACCATCCTTGTCTTCATGGATTGTATCAAGCCCAACAACAAAGGTCCGAATGATATCCATTGCCATTTGAAACTCCGCTCTTCTTTTTAGTTCCTTTTGATCTAAGGATGAAGTAGGTAGAAAAGAAATGATTAAATTGTCTGATTAACTGGGGGAGGGGATACTTGGTTTCAAACTGCTTTTAATATTCAATTTAAATTGCTGACTTGTAACGCAGATAAGAAATCAAATCAACAAAACCATGGCTATGACTTTTATTAATATTTTCTGCTCTCAGCCCTTGATAGCGGCTGCCCTGCTGATCTGAAGTCCTGTTTCCATTTGGCCTGTTACTTCTGTCATTAGATGGTTTGGCCTCCCTTTGAGAGCTTTGGATTTTTGGTTGTCTAGATACACCTGTCCTCTTGGTCCTACAGTCTTGCATTTGCCAGGCTGCCTCATGCTCTGCCACATGCTTAAAATATGCAAATTCTTGGATCATTTGATTCCCCCCCCCCCCGAGCTTTGCTTACTTTCAAGTGCCCTTTAAAAATGAATTAGGTGTTCAAATAGGTCAAGGGCTCATCTATCCAATGCTATTTTTCTGCAAAAAAAGGTGCTGGAACTCAGCATTAATGCCTCCCTTCTTCTCTTAAAGTGTCAACAGCACCCACCTGAGAGGGGCCAGAACAGGGTCCAGATCAATTTCAGCTGAAAAAGCCCTGCATATATTTCGATATTTAGGTAGGCTCTGGACCCACCCAATTGGCCATGGCCTTTTCCTTTGCAGCCTGTTTTCCCCAAGCACTTTCCTTCAGGGGACTGGAGCCCTAGCAGAGGGCAGGCTTGCGAGGATCAGGAATTGGGCCTGCAGCGACGCAATGGCACTCTTTCTCTCCCTGGCACCGCTGTGCCAGACTCAGTTTCCCTTCCCTCAGGTGAATTCCCCCAATGGAGAATGAATCACGAGCAACTGTGGCTTTTACTTTTGGGAAAACAGGTTGCAAACAAACTTTATTACAACAGATGTAAACAAGGAGTTTTGGTTCTTCTTCCACAGAAATGTAACAAACAGTGAGGTTATTAACTGCGTGATGCTGATGCTTTTTATTAAAACATATACTGTTTCAAGTTATAGGCTGTATGCTATGCAGGCTTAAGGTTACTTCCTTTTACACATCTTTCATAGATCAGACTTTTCCACACACATTTCAGGAAATTAGGATTTTAACTGGACTGTTTCCTTACAGACCCTCAAATCCTCAAATCACTTGGAATCACTATTGCCCTTTCCAGTCAGAGTATCCCCTCTGAGGACCCTTTTTTCCTGTAAACAGCTTGTGGGACTGTGTCTTCTCTATTTTAACAGAGTTCTGCGATTCAGAACCTTAGAGCATATACTGAGAGTTCTCAGCTCTCTTCAGCTCTACCACCTGTCAGAACAAACTCTCCTAACAGAATCCAACTCACAGACTGAATTCCTCTCTCCCACTCCCTCACTCCACTCCAATTGCCTCCCTTGGAATGCTGGCCAATCAGGCGCTGTTGTTAGTTAAGTGTTTGCTGGCGGGGGGGGGGGACACTAGATGACTCAACCCGCTCAGAAAAGAAACGTTTCCATCACAGGGCTTTCCCACAAGCAAATGAGGATTAGTTGGGAAAGGGAATTGTCCAGGGTGTCCCAGGGACTTGTGTTATCCTGTGCTTCTGTTCCAAGTGCTAGAACTCACTTATTCAGGGAGAACAAAACAGTGCCATTGCTCTCAGTGGGTGACAGCTGTAACTCACCCCCAGAAATCAAAGAGAGATGAAAGGGGTAAATGGAAGGTGGATCCTGCCATCTCTTTTTGGAAATGCTATTGACATTTAAGCAAAGCACATGACATTAGTTGCAAAGTATGCTAATTATGTACTTACATAGAAGGAAAAGCAGCAGTGTCATGGCAGTAAGGATGAAAATCTCAAGTATTATATATCTTTCACCCGTTGGAGATTCTAAGAAGGTAACCACGTCTTGAAAAACAGATGCTTGAAGAAAGAAAATTCTGATTTAGCCATCAGTAGCCAACAGTGTTCTTGAAGCTACCAACATGAGTTTGACCAAACTGCGGGAGGCAGTGGGAGGCAGGAGTGCCTGGCGTGCTCTGGTCCATGGGGTTACAAAGAGTCAGACACGACTAAATGACTAAACAGCAACAAGCCAACATACCATTGCCACTCCAGGGAAAAGGGTTTCCATATGCTGTGATAGCCATCAGCCAGAGACAGTCAACTGTTCAAGAGGTGGTAATCTGGGTGGTTGAGCAGGTGGAGGAAGTAAGGGGAGATACCTTGCTGCTTGAGGAAACTTTTCTGACCAATGTCTGGATCAGAAGACCGTAGCCTTTGATACTAAAGGACTTTCTGCCCACTAGGCAAATGACAAGATGCTCCCTCCAAACACATAATTCCACATACAGAAGCTGGGCTGGACTGGCCATTGGCTGATATTTTGATGCTGCTGATGGGGCAGCAGACTAACTGAGGAGGTGCAGTGCAGCTTGTGTGGTCTACCCATCTCTACCCACCCCAGCACCTGCTACCTGAGGCAACTGCCTCATTCTGCCTAATGGTAGAGCCATTCCTGGCTGCACACAGTAAAGGAATACCACAGCCAGCAGCAAAGAGTAGGCTGAATCCTGGGGTTTCTGTGGGGCTTAGTGGATCTCTGGCACCCAAAGAGCTGTGTGGGCTTTTCTCTGCACTCCTCGCTAGCACAACATGTCTGGCTCCACTCCCTGCCTGTCTCTCCATCAACTTCCCTTTCCCATGCATTCCTCTACTTTATGAGAAACCTCATCCCATATGACTGTGCTGTATACAGACCACGAGTTTCAGTTGTTGTTGGTGTTGCTGCTGCTGAATCCTTTCTGGATGCTTCATCAATTCCGGACTTTTCCATCCTCTCAGTTGCATCTGTGAAACAATAAGCTATTATAACGACTATGAACACATTGGTTGGATGGTGGGTCTTTTCCCTTCCAAGCTCAGAGTATTAGTCTCTTGTCAAGCATGAAAGCTCACAAAATTTGCTTTTATTCTCCTGCACTTAATCTCCCTATTACAGGAACATAATTTTTAAAATAGATGCACATCTACAAATGTCAAGGATTTCATCGGTACAACGTTGAAATGGACAACAACATCAGGCCAAAAATATGTCTCAATGAGGCATTTCCAACATTAAACTTTGGCATCTATCAGTATTAGACAATCATTTCCTGTAAAGACATTGTTGAGTCCAATATAACTGAAATGTCTTTCTTTTTCTTTTGCTGGATCAGTCTCCATCTTATACCAAAAAGATGTTCCATATGGATTCAAAGGTATTGAAAAATGTTTTAGATAATATAGCATTCTCATTTGCATTATATTCTTCTCTAAGCTCCTGGATATCTAGTTTATGGAACTTCAGCAAGCATTTGCAAAGAACAGTTATGGGTTTGATTCATATGTTCTCTCTATATTTATTTTATGGGGTAAACCAAATTTGGGGCAATCTTCTTTGTGGAAGAAATGGGTTGATTGTGATATCTGTACATTAGATCAGCTGATAAGATCAGATGGAGAATTTTTGGTTCTGTTTATATTGCAGCTGAAATCTCAGTTACTTGGTGCGTGCTGAAAATAAATATCTTGCTTCATAACATTTACTGGTGTTTATTTATAGACTGTCTGCTTTGAGTGCTTTGGCATCTATTGAATATCTGGAGGAAATAATACGATTTTCCCATAGATATCTGGTTGGCCATGGAGTGGTCAGGATACAGTACTGGATGGACTTTTCATATGATCTAGCACTCAGACTCTTCTTATGATTCCAAAAATCAGTTTGAAAGCAGGGGCCTTCCATGTCTCTCCATTTGCCCCGCCTGTCTGTCAATCAATGTCATATGATGTCACTATTACTTACTGTGCCAAATTACCATGCCTAAAAGTCCAAATGCCTTTCATTTTTGTGTTTGTCCCTTTTCCAGCAGCAACCAGAGCTATTTTCATTAAGATACCAGCCCTCAGGCTGAAAGTGGCTTCCTCACAATACATTACCAGATGTTCACCATTTAATAGATTCTAAGGAGGGGAGACTACCCGTAACTTTCTTTAAAATGGTGGAGAACTTTAACTTGCTTGATATATGGAGATTTAAACACCCACTGGATAGAGAAATTACTTTTTTTCAGAACCAAAGCAATCTGCTGGACAAACCAACTTGATATGGATATCTAATGAACTATCATTGACAAGAAAAAAGGAGAGATACAATCAAGGACATGTTCGGATCACAAACCAGTATTAGAGGAATTGAAAGGTGAAAAAAACCACACACATTTAGGTGGAGATTAAATGATGGACTTCTTGATAGCCAAACAATTTTACACAAAGCTGAAAAAGCTTTGAAAGACTATTTTGAGTTAAACTTAAATCAAGGAGTGGATCTGAAGGTTGTCTGGGATTCAAGTAAAGCGGTAATGTGGGGTTTTTTGATCCAACAAAATGCTTTCCAAAAAAAGATGAGAGAACAAAAACAAACAAACAAATGAGAACTGCTAGAAGAATTGATTAAAAATAAAAAAGAATTGATCAAAAAACCAAGAAAAGATTCAGTAAAGCAACCATAAAAATGTTATAAACACAATATTTGATGTTGGTAAATCAAGAAATTGAATGGAAGATTAAAATGCTATGGCGGAAATTTTTTTATTTTGCCAGTCAGCCACACAACCTGCAGGCATGGCAGCTAAAGAAAAAATAAAACATGAACTTAATAAATAAATGAAATATAGAAGGGAAAGTTTTAGATAATATGAAACACATAAGAAAGCAATTTGTAAGGTATAATTCAGAACTGTACTGAGCCGGCATAAATAATATTGAAGAATATTTAAAGCAAAATAATTTACCAAAAATTCCAAAAGAGAAACCTAATTCATTTAATGCACCTATAACTATGATGGAGTTACAACAGGCAATTAATCAAGCCAAAATGGGCAAAACACAGAGGCCAGATGGGTTACCAGCAAAGTACTATAAGAAACTACATGATTATCTAGCACAACCACTGAAAGATGTAACTAATGAGATATTAAATACAGCGGAAAGTGCCAGGTTCTTGGAAAGATGCTTACATTACACTGATTCTGAAACAAGATACAAATTTATTATGTGCCAAAAAATATAGGCTGGTCTTAGAAATGGCAGTGCGGATTCAATCACTCTGAAAGCGACTATTGGTCTGAGGCTGGCAGGGGTAAGAGGGGAGAGTGCCAGGGCTAGGCACCCCCCCCCCCCGAAAGCCTCACTCTGGCAGAAGCACCAATCTCCTGCTGCCCTCCTGGAAACCTTGCCAGAAGGCAGTTGGGGGGGAGTGCGGTTGAGAGCACTCGCAGCTTTAACACGACCCTACGAGGTATGTTTGGCATGCATATCTGTGGTATGAGAAGGTTAAAGTACATAGAGCTTTCTTAAATCATATTGTAAGAAAATCGGTTTATGAGGTATGGGAAAAATATAAAAATCTACCAGAACAAAAAACACCATGGTGGCTCTCACCACTAGAAGTGATACCCTTAAAAAAAATTGAATATGAGAAATGACTGGGGAACGTATAAAGAGCTGTTAGTGGAAGTAGAACTCCAATTGAAATTGAAGATGTCTGAGGACATAAGAGAATTACTAACTGACTGATTTCAACACCATCAACTTAATTAAATATTCAAGATGGACAAAAAGAATGGCTTTTCTAATGGAACCTCTAAATTTGAAAAAGAGCTGTTGGAGAACAAAACAAATTTACTCTCAAGAATATATAAATTAACACTAGAATGGTATACAAAAGATGAGCAGGTTAAATCAGCAATGATACACTGGGTGAAAGATTTTGGGTATAATATACAACTTGCAGCATGGGAGAACTTTGGGAATTGGAATTTAAAATTCACAGCATGTTGCACACTGTAAGGAAATTATACGAAAATGATATATCATTGGTATTTAACTCCCAGTCAATTAGCAAAACTGTATAAATCAGGGTCAAATATATGTTGGAAATGTAAGGAAAAAGAAGGCACCTTTTATCAAATGTGGTGGACATGTAAGGTAGTAAAAGAATTTTGGGAAATTATATTTAATGAATTGGGGGGGAGTTTAATCCCCCCCCTAAAAAACCCCAAAGCTTTTCTTTTAGGAACTCTAGGTGCTGAAATCCCAAAGGAGCAGAAAAGACTATGTACATGACCACGGCTGCACAGATATTATTGGCCCAGAGATGGAAAGAAGATGAAGTCCCTACCAGAGAAGAATGGCAGATAAATTTGGTGAATTATGCCGAAATGGCAAAAAAGAACAAAAGAATCAGAAATCAGGAAAATTTTAAGGAATGGGGAAAGTTTATAATCTATCTTTAAAACCATTGGAAACAGCTAAAATTATTAGTGCGGTTGGAATACCACTTGTAGTTTAATGGGGAATTTTGGACATAATAGAAATGTAAAAGATTTGGATTATTATAAAAGATGCAGGAGGAAATGACTAAAAATCGGACTCATAAAAGGGAGGAGGGAAGTCCAGGGGATTCTTTGGAATCTTGTTTTTGTACTGTATGTTGATATGTGATTGTAAAATTTTACTTTGAAAAACCAAATAAATAAATTTACAAAAGAAACAGAAAAAAGACTTTGGAGACCACAAGTTGGACATGGAAAAGAAGCAGACAGAACCTGTGCATTTCCCATGCATTCCTCTACTTTATGAGAAACCTCATCCCATATGACTGTGCAGTATACAGACCATCAGTTATAGTTGCTGATGGTGCTGCTGCCGATAGTGCTGTAGGCTCTGCGGGCGCTGGCTCTGCGGGCGCTGGCTCCTCCATCCTCTCAGCTAGAATAAGACAACAACAAATGGAGAACAAGATTATTGTAAAGTGGCATCAGTATTAGACCATCCTTTCCCGTAAAGACGTTGTTGAGTCCAATATAACTGAAACGTCTTTCTTTTTCTTTTGCTGGATCAATCTCAGTTTAAACCAAAAGAGATGTTCCACATGGATTCCAAGGCATTTTTAATTTTTTTAGGTAATATAGCACATTCTCATTTTGCATCCTATTCCTCTCTAAACCCCTGGACATCTAGTTTACAGGACTCCAGTAAGATGTTCACCATTTAATAGATAATGTGGGACCTATGAGGTCTTCAGATGTTCCTGGGTGCCAGATTCCTCCATCACAGGTCTCATGGTCAATGGTCGGGGGTCACGGGAATTGCAGACCAATAACATCTGGAGGGCCATTTGTTCCCCACCCTTGATGGAAAGTATATACATTTAATTATATCTCTATCTCCTGATCATCATTAAAGAAGAGGAGGAGGAGGAGGAGGAGGAGGAGGAGTTTGGACTTGATATCCCGCCTTTCACTCCCCTTAAGGAGTCTCAAAGTGGCTAACAATCTCCTTTCTCTTCCTCCCCCACAACAAACACTCTGTGAGGTGAGTGAGGCTGAGAGACTTCAGAGAAGTGTGACTAGCCAAGATCACCCAGCTGCTGCAAGTGGAGGAGCGGGGATGCGAACCCGGTTCACCAGATTACGAGTCCACCGCTCTTAACCATTACACCACTGCTGGCTCTGCCTAGTACACAATCTTTAATTCAATTAAAGATTGAGTACTAGATCTGATCTCTGTTGGACGCATATAAATCCAATTGAATCTAGCAAGATCTGGACACCATGAGTTGGACCTGGAAAAGAAGTAGAGGTGAAGCTATTACCCAGGCTCTCCAAGTGTGTCATTTTGTTTTCTTTTTGCAAAGACTCAGCTTGACATCTGATGCTGTGGCTTAAAGAAAGAAGAGGACTGTTGTCTAATCCCATTTCAATATGCAAGTAAATGGGTTTCCCAAAGACTTATATTTTCTGGATCATGATCCTAGATCTGGATTTACAAACTGGGCCCACGAATCAGAGCAGGGCACCTGTATTGCCAGGGAATAAAACAGAATGCGATGCTCCTGGTTTGCAATGTAGCTGGAGCTTTACTATAAGGAACCTGGCTGTTGGAGAAGAAGCGAAAGCAACTTCATGGCTTGGCCAGCTATCAAACACCTGACTTCATGAGGGATGGACGGAGGAACCAGTTGACTGGGAACAAGGAAAGTAACCTTACATTGACTGAACTGCACAGATAAAGAATGCAAATGAAGGCTCTCATGCCCACGTGCGTCGACTCCCAGGCCAGATCAAAGGATGGGAATGGAATTACATCATGAATTACATCTGTTGCCAGCTTGGCATGAGACCTTCACTATGGACTATATAAAGGCCAGCAGCTGAAGGAGACAGGGAGATCTTGATACATTGTTCTATGCTCCATTCCAGAATGTGAAGAGAACGACCACCTGCCAGTCTGAAGTGCCCCAGATAAGCCTTCCAGATCTCCATCGGCTGGAGAGACATGAAGAACAAAACCTATTCTAAGGTATTTTGCTTATTGGTTATATTGCTAGCTTTGTAGTTTAGTCCAGTTGCTGTTGGCTTTATATTGGACTCCATTCTAGGTTGCTGATCAATTTCTTTGCTAATGTTTATCAGTTAATAAGAGTTTGTCTCTGCCTAAGAGTCTGTCAATTCTCTGTCCAGTGGAATCCAAAAAACCTGTTGCTTGCCTGGTTTTTGCTATTGGCCAAACAGCCAGTAGGGGACGCTGGCAAGACAGCACCTGTGCACATCCTTATAATGTACCACCACTCAGTTTCATTGGATGACCCTGAGTTCTAGAATTTAAAAGAGAAAAACCATCTGTAGTTTATAAAAGCTCCCTATCATTTTCCCTCTTGGTGACCTTTCGGCCCTGGAATGAGTCCCTGCAAATATAAACGTTGTAAGGAAAGTGTTCCACCCCTCAGACCTCTTTCTGTTTGGATACCTTGGTGCTGTCATGAAACAACCTTTTCTCTAATTTCTTCTTAAGGTTGTTTCATCCTCCCACTGGCTAAGAACCACCTCCCTTGTGATGTCAGGCATTCCAGAACTCCTCCCATTTAGGCTATACCATTTCCTGATTGGCTGCTCATTTTATCCAATCAGCACTCCACATAAAGCATAAACCCAGGCAAATGTTGGTTTCAGAGTTGATATCCTACTTATTTTTTTCAAAAGTTATTAGTTTTATTTTTTATTTAGGCTGGGTACATACTTTACCTTCAAAGCATATTCCCCAGAAGAATCCTTACTCCTCATAAACTCTGCTAGTAATATTGGAAAGCTTCCTGTCTCAACACTTGTACCAGGAAATATGGCAAAGCGCATTAGTGTAAATCTTCATTTGAAAAGTTAAAGCACAAAGAAAAGGAACAGAAACAGTCAAATTTCAACATTTTTGGTTCTACATTTATTGAATGCATCATCATCAAAACATATATGCCACCAGTGCTATTTTTCCAGAAAAAAGGGTACCAGAACTCACCATGAACACTTCCCTTGCTCTCTTATGATGGTGTCAACCTGAGAGGTGTCAGAAATGACCGCTCCCCGCTTAAAACGGGGGGCGCCCTTTGCGTGGACGCGCGCAGCCCCTAGATCTGGAGCGGCTCCAACAGCATAGGCTTGGCTTTGCCTTCCCTCAGGTGGGATACCTGGAGGTCTCCGCCTACCTCAGTCAGTTGTCCAATCCCACCTGGGGGAAGCGTTGCCAAGGAGACCAGGCCAGGTAGGGGAGGGATTACCTGCCCACACAATAGAGGGAGGATCTTACCTGGGAAATCTCACTTGGCTCCAGAGCTTCTCCCACCCTACCCACCCTCAGTTAATGTCTTATTTGCAGGTTAACTTTTCTTCACAGGTTTTGCAGGTTAACTTTTCTTCGCAGGTATGCGGGTGCTGCTACGTTAAGGTCACTGTTAAAGGGCCGGAAAGGAATTTCTCTGCATTGGCAGGTTTCGCCTTTCCCATAGCAAAACGTCACAACTTTGGCGGTATCAGGCCTTGGGTGAAATCCTTTAGTCCATCTTCCTCTTTGCGGCGGCGATACCAGGGTTCCCCGTTAAAGGGGTTTCTGAAGGGAGGCTTTGACCGTACGCCGAAAGGTCGTCATTGCTCTCCCCTGCGGCGGCGGCGTAACGGGGGCGGCTATCTCTGCTTGAACATATGTTCTCCAGAGCCTGCCCATCCCCCGCCCACTGGATAACCCCGAAGCTCCCTAGGTCCCCGGCTGGGGACTGGGGAGGGAGAACGCCCAATGCCTGAGCCAAGGTCTACCCACATTTGAAATTTAATAAAGTTGTGGCCAATTTAATCCCATAGCACGTTGTCATGAGTCGTTATTCCACATGACGGGGGGACCGCGCGGGATCTGGGGACTCCGCCTGTCCACGCAATGAGTTCAATGAGTTCCAGATGCAAAAAAGCCCTGCATGCAACTGACCTTCAGCCAATGGCAACTCATCGAGAACTGTACTTGGAAAGAAAGATAGATCTGCACAAACTCTGAATCAGTCTCATATGCTAGAAACCAGCTCGTGTATACTTGTTTCTCTTATTGTTTATGATGTTTTTGTATGTTTATATGTCACTACCAATAAAAATATTGTTCTAAAATGTTTTCTGTCATTTAAATCCTGTCCTTCTGTATAAAGATTCAAGAATCATATAATACTGGTTGTAAAGGTTCTCCAGTGGCTCCCAGTACATTTCCGAGCACAATTCAAAGTGTTGGTGCTGACCTTTAATGCCCTAAACGGCCTCAGCTCTGTATACCTGAAGGAGCGTCTCTACCCTCATAGTCCAGCCCAGATACTGAGGTCCATCTCTGAGGGTCTTCTGGCTGCTCCCTCACTGTAAGGTTGCAGTGAACTAGGCAGAGGGCCTTCTTGACAGTAGCACCTTCCCTGGGGAACACCCTTCCATCAGATGTCAAGGAGATTATGAACTACATAACTGTATTGGGAAGTTTTTAACACTTGACCTTTATTATGTTTTTATATTTTGCTGGAAGCTGCTCAGGGTGGCTGGGGAAACCTCGCCAGATGGGTGGTGTAGTATACAATAATAATAATTGTATAATAATAATAGTGATGATAATAATAATAATAATAATATAAACCATTAAACACTTAACTAGAAGTAAATGTGTTTGTTCTATCCATTTATTTTAGACATAAGTTTACACATTCAGTGTTCAAACATATTACTCTATGTAACCTCTTCCTGGTCATTGACCGTATTAAAGATATTTGATTTGATCTATGTAACCTCTTCACTGAGAAAATTGAGTGGCTGCTATAACCAGGGCCGTCTTTAGCATATGCAGCGCCAGGTGCGCAAAGATCTACCCAGCACCCCCAAATTTAGTTTAGCTCCCAAATCGATCTTCTTCCGGGGTGGTCACAAGATGAGAGAAAGTGACAGGAGGACACAAAGGGTGTGCGCGCACACACAGGAAGGAGATTGTGAGGGGGTCCTCTCTCACCTGCCACACCCCACAGGTTCTCCCCATGGGGAGGCCTTGGCCTACCACCCCTCAGCCACAAAAATGACTCAACAACTGGAGCACTGCTTGCAATCATGCATGCCTCCATTGCCGCCTATCATCTGCCCGATCAGCATAACCAGCTGCGTGTCACTCACAATTGACGCAGCGGCAGCCAATACACAGCCGACAAGCGCTGCTGACACTATCCTGCTCGCGGTAACACCCGTCCCAACGAGGCACAACCCATGTATAAGACGACCCCCTCCCCATTTTAGACTTAATTTGGGGGTAAAAAAAGATTGTCTAAATAATACATGGAAAAATATGGTATTTATTATTCCATAACAGATGATAGTTAAGACCTAAGGTGGTTCCAGTGGCGGGTGCCTGGTGCCCCCCAGAATTTGGCGCCCGGGTGCACTGCACACCTTTCACAACCAAGTAAAGATGGCATTAACAGGGTCTTGATTTTGGACATTAAAGTAGTGAAGAAAGGGATCTATATTTCTTGGAAGGTGTCTCTTTGTGTTATGCCTTTAAATGCCCTCCAGTGTTTCATGAGGCACTCATTTATTCTATCCGAGAGAGAGAGAGAGAGAGAGAGAGAATCATAGAATCATAGAGTTGGAAGAGACCACAAGGGCCATCGAGTCCAACCCCTGCCAAGCAGGAAACACCATCAGAGCACTCCTGACATATGGTTGTCAAGCCTCTGCTTAAAGACCTCCAAAGAAGGAGACTCCACCACACTCCTTGGCAGCAAATTCCACTGTCAAACAGCTCTTACTGTCAGGAAGTTCTTCCTAATGTTTAGGTGGAATCTTCTTTCTTGTAGTTTGGATCCATTGCTCCGTGTCCGCTTCTCTGGAGCAGCAGAAAACAACCTTTCTCCCTCCTCTATATGACATCCTTTTATATATTTGAACATGGCTATCATATCACCCCTTAACCTCCTCTTCTCCAGGCTAAACATGCCCAGCTCCCTTAGCCGTTCCTCATAAGGCATCGTTTCCAGGCCTTTGACCATTTTGGTTGCCCTCCTCTGGACATGTTCCAGTTTGTCAGCGTCCTTCTTGAACTGTGGTGCCCAGAACTGGACACAGTACTCCAGGTGAGGTCTGACCAGAGCAGAATACAGTGGCACTATTACTTCCCTTGATCTAGATGCTATACTCCTATTGATGCAGCCCAGAATTGCATTGGCTTTTTAGCTGCCGCGTCACACTGTTGGCTCATGTCAAGTTTGTGGTCAACCAAGACTCCTAGATCCTTTTCACATGTACCGCTCTCAAGCCAGGTGTCCCCCATCTTGTATTTGTGCCTCTCATTTTTTTGCCCAAGTGCAATACTTTACATTTCTCCCTGTTAAAATTCATCTTGTTTGTTTTGGCCCAGTTCTCTAATCTGTCAAGGTCATTTTGAAGTGTGATCCTGTCCTCTGGGGTGTTAGCCACCCCTCCCAGTTTGGTGTCATCTGCAGATTTGATCAGGATGCCCTTGAGTTCATCATCCAAGTCGTTGATAAAGATGTTGAATAAGACCCAAGACAGGGCCCAAGACAGAACCCTGTGGCACCCCATTAGTCACTCTTCTCCAGGATGAAGAGGAACCATTGATGAGCACCCTTTGGGTTCGGTCAGTCAGCCAGTTACAAATCCACTGAGTGGTAGCATAGTCAAGACCGCATTTTACCAGCTTCTTTACAAGAATATCATGGGGCACCTTGTCAAATGCCTTGCTGAAATCAAGGTAGGCTACATCCACTGCGTTCCCTTCATCTACCAGACTTGTAATTCTGTCAAAAAACGAGATCAGGTTAGTCTGACATGACTTATTTTTCAGAAATCCATGCTGACTATTGGTGATCACAGCATTCCTTTCTAGGTGCTCACAGACTGTTTGCTTAATGATCTGCTCCAGAATCTTCCCTGGTATTGATGTCAGACTGACTGGGCAGTAATTATTTGGGTCCTCTCTTTTCCCCTTTTTGAAAATAGGGACAACATTTGCCCTCCTCCAGTCTGCCGGGACTTTGCCTGTTCTCCAGGAATTCTCAAAGATGACTGCCAGTGGTTTTGAGATCACATCTGCCAGTTCTTTTAATACTCTTGGATACAGAGAGAGAGATGGGTGTTGTGAAGGAGCACTTGTGGTGAGAGAAAGCCTGAGTGGGGTGGCCAGTGAGTCGGCAAAGGAGGCAGGATTCTGAGCGCAGTGGGACTGCTCCACCTGCCATCCTCCTGGCCAGCCCTGCCCTGCCCAGCCTGCCAGTGGGGGCGTCAGCATGGTTGCCGCTTTCTTTGAACGCACAGCGGCTGCTGCTGCTCCAGCCCTCCTCCTTTCCCCAGTGTACTGGTTGCCTCCTCTTCCTGGAGCCTCTTTGTGTGTACTTGGGCACACTGCTGCAGCAATGGTATAGCTAGGGTTTTTGCTCAGCAGCACCCTTCACTGGGGGTGAATCAAGTACCCCTTCCCCAAACAAACCACTGCAAGTTAATGTGTGGTGGGTGAGACTCCCCTGAAACAGCCTTCACTATTCTGCTTTCGCTATTGGGCACTGGTAGAAAAAGAGCTCCATTAACTTCTTCGCTTGCAGCTGCTGAGAAACGTAGGAGGGTGGAAACATAAGACAAAAGATTGCAACCGGCTGTGCTTCAGCCCTCGCTCGGTTCCCATGTCAGGTCCAAGGGAGCCCGTAGAGAGAGAGATGGTTCTGGTAGGGTTGTGGGATGAACTAAGCAGTCTCCTGGAACTTTCCTTGCTCTTGCAGATACTGATTTAGTGCTGTGTGCCCACTCAATTTGTTTCTCCATCTCATCTTCCTTGGTATCCAGAAATTTCTCCAATTCTTTAATCAGCAGTTGTTAAAAACCTTCCTCTCTTTATTCTGGAATCAATCAACATCTCAAATACATTTCCTTCTGCTGCATCTCTTGGAGAGCGACCGGTTCATCCAGTATTTCTGTGTTCTGCTGTATTCCAGTTACCTGTTCTTGGGTTTATGTGATTTGTTACTGCATCTCTTTCGCTTGATTTCATGTCTCTGATTTCATTGACCAGTAATGTGTTGTTGTTTTTTCAGTTTCTTCCAGAGAGCTAGGCCTTTAAAACAGATCACTTATTTCTTTGGAGCAATCCCTTAAATCCCTTGCAACT